TGGCCAGGGGCCCCGCCCCTGTGCCACACTGGCTCCGTGCCCCATCATCCCCCACCACCACGGGTGTTTTCATCCTGGAGCCCCGGCACCTGGCCAGCACGGGTCGGAGCAGCTGGCGTTGCAGGGCACAGGCCTCAGACCTGCCCTCGGCCCCACCACCCACCCGCGCCGGCTCCCATCTCCTGGCCCCTGCAGGCCACACCCCCAGTCCACCTCCCCAGTCCCACTCCCCCAGGCCTCCCCTGCTGCACCCCACACAGGACCTCGGCAGTAAGCACCTCAAAATACCCCTGCAGGCAGGCCTCAGGTGGCCGGGTCTGACCCTCCAGTCACACCCCACGGGACGGGGTGGGGAGGACCTGACATTTGGTCCCAGAACCTAGCCCACATAGAGCCCTGCCCACCCTCTGGCATAAGTGAGCAAATCAAAGAAGCCTCAGTTCTTAGGGGCTGAGTTGCATCCCCAAAGTCCACAGGTTGGCGTCCCAGCCGAGGCACCCAAGGACACGGCTGTGCTTGGGGATAGCGCCTTTACAGAGGGGGCCAGATTAAGAGGAGGGTGCCGGGGTGGGTGCCTGGGGTCCTCTTTAGAGCAGGAGATGAGGGCCAGATGCAGAAGGAGGGCCCCATGAGGACACCAGAGAAGGTGGCGCCCACAGTCCCCGGAGAGGGGCTCAGGGCCACCGGCCCTGCCCACCCCCACCACACCCCGCTGTCTCCAGGACTGGGAGGCCGGACGTGCCCGTCTGCGTCTGCGCCATCCGTCAGGGACGCGCTGCCGGCCCCGCTCCTCGGGCTGGCAGCACCTCGTGGCGGCCGGGCCTCGCCGGGCCTGGGGGCAGGAGAGGGCCGAGGGCAGAAACGACCACTGGGCCTCGGAGGAGCGCAGCCAACAGCACGTCTGGGGACACAGGAAGGTCTCGGCACACGCATCTACCTCCTCACTGGAAACACTAACGCGGGCCGGGCCCTGCCTTCGCGCCCCCACGTGCCCACGACCCGGAGGAGGGCCGTAAACAAGGCGCCCGGGTTCGTGGCAGAACGTTAAGCTGTGAGGAGGCGTCCAGTGGGGGGCTCTGGGGACCACGTCTTATTTAACACCTCCATTAGTGATCTGGAAGGAACAGTAAACAGCTCAGTTAATTACATTTCCAGATGATACTAAACTTGGAGGTGCCACAGAAAGTCAATGAGGACAGAAGAACGATGCTGGTGGGATCCGAGAGGCTAGTTACGAGTGTATCCAAAAAAAGCTAATTAAAAACTTTCCTACGTTCTGGAAGCCTGGGTAACTTCTGCTGGAGGATGATCAGAGAACAACGCAGGGCCCCTCGTTGTCCGACGGCCCCGTCCCCGCCCTCTACCCCAGGCGGGGCTCCAGGGGCTGTGCGGGGCTCAGGCGGACGCGGCTGGCAGACATGGCCACCCCCGGTCAGAGCACAGACGCTGAACCGCTCCAGTGGCACGGCGCCTCGGCCTCTACCTGGGACGCACTCGGGGGAGGGCCTGTGCGGACGCCCCGTTCAGAAACACAGGAAGTCCCGGTGCCGTATGTCCAGAGACACCATGGAGCCCTGCGCCCACAGGAAAAGTGCCGACGAAATCAGGACACTCAGGACGTACGCGGGCCACAGAACACTTGGGCCTACTATGACACACAGGCGTATTTCTGAACAGATGAGGGAGGCCGGCGTGTAAGGTCTGAGACACCCTCCCGCACACCCGTGTCCGCCACAGCATCACCTCCAGCCGGGACACGGAAACACCCTGCGCCCATTGATGGCCGGACGGTGAAAGACGACACACAAGCACGACCGACACACACCACCCACACAGCTCGCACACGCACCCACGGCACCCACAGAAAGGCCCTGAAACCGCTCTTTTCCGGGAAGCCCCCTGCTCCCCTGGGCTCACTCACACAAAGTGACCGTCGGAACTCAGACTCGCACTTCTCCTCCGACCGGGAGCACTAACCGGAAACGGCTGCTCTGAAGAGCGGCTGCCCCTGGAACCAGGGGTGGGCACCGCACCCCGTGGGGACCCACAAAGTCGAAGACTTTAATGTAAAGGTGGCACTTCGAGCCGGGAGCGCTCAGCACACCCCCAGCAGGTTCCCGGGGACGGCGGCAGGCCCCAAAGGAAGGACACAGCGAACCTGGCCACCCTCGCCACTGACCTCCCCGGTGGGGGCCTCCCCCGGCCCCTCGCGTCGCCTGGGCCGTGTTTTGCAGCTACAACACAAGCCCCAGGGGTCCTGGCTCCTGTCACAACCACGTCCTCACGGGCGGTGATGGGCCAGTCCAAACCTGGGGAGTGGAGGCAGCCCCCACCCTCACAGGGGCGATGTTCACAGACCGGCCAGGCAGCCGTGGCTCACCCACAGCCCGGGGCCCCAGCACATGGGGGCCGGGAGCCCAGCACCCCCCCCCAGAGCCCGGGGCGTGGGGTGGAGGGACTGACGGGAGCACAAGGCAGGCACGCCCATCCCCCGAGTCCCCTCGGCGAAAGGCCAGCAGTGAGCCTTATTCTGCCACATGCTTTTCAGGCAAGGTCTCCATTCCACGTGGTGACACTATTTACAGAAATGCCTGAGAAAGCTTCCCGACAGCCTCAGGCCGGGGGCCAGCAGGGACCAGGAGGGGCGGGGGTGGGGAGGGCCCGGAGTGGGGAGGACCAGAGTGCCGGGCACAGAGAGGACGCTGGCGCCCCCTGCTGCCCGAAGGGGAGCATCCCAGGAATGCACTGGGGCTGGAAGCCATGCCGCTTCCAAGTACAAGTACGGGACAATGCTTCAGCTGGGTCACACGGCCAGGGCCACTGAAACCTACTTTTTTGCATGTTGCAGGTCTTTAAACATTGTTGTTTGTAGCAAATAACAATTCCACGATTCCTTGAGGGCAGGCGCTTGCATGGACTTGGTTTCTGACTCTGCATGGGGCCCTCTTCCCCGTGGATCTTTTCTCTGTCCCCCACAAGATCCACACATTGTTTCCGGACCCTGTGCAGGGACACGGCCAAGGGCTCTGACAGGGACATACTCCACTGGGAGCAGCCACTTCCAGCAGCTCGCAAAGGGGGCCTGCGAGGCTGATCCCCTTCCACCCGTGCGTGGCAGCCCGGCACCGGCACAACACAGGGTGAGGCGTGTGGCTCGGGGGCCCCGGTCCCTCAATGAGGAGGTACTACCACTGTCCAAAGTACCATGCAGACCACAGACCACCAGAAGTGGGGCCGCCGCAGAGCAGGGACCCGGAAAACGTGTGCGGACATGCCCGCAACACAAACACAGCACCCCGCCGTGGCGGCCACGAGCTCACCGCGGTGACGAGGACGGACCTGTGATGGCGCCTGCCCAGGGCCACACACCGGCGAGCGTGAGACAAGCAGCACCCAGTGCACTCTGGTTTCTCAAAGGCCCCCAAGAGCCCGGGGCGTGTGGGTGGCAGCAACGGTGTCTTCACCCGTGAGGGACGGGCTCACCGGGCACAGGTGCAGTGCAGACACCGTCCCCAGTGGGCACACCTTTCTGCAGTGCCCGCCTCCAGCGCAGCAGGAGCGGCAACCTGCCTCCAACCGACAGGATGTGGCACAGGTGACGGCGCCACCCCGTGACTGCTGTGTCACACGGCAGAGGCGAAGGCGCCCGAGATGAGTGAGACCGGCCGACCCTGCGTCAGTCAGAAGGAAGACTGGTCTGTGGAGCTGGGAGGCCCTCTCTGGACGAGGGCCACCTCTATCTATTCCCCTACGTGCAAACTTCTGGTCGCCTCCAAGCACAGCAGGCGGCCTCCCTCCCTTAAAAGGGGGCAGTGTGGACACCAGAGAGGGCCAGCAACGCCAGGCTGGGCCGGCAGGGCCACAAGCGTGCAGGGACAGCAGACCCGACTCAGGGGCAGGGAGGCACTGCTGCCGGGGGACAGACCCGCAGTGCCCTGGGGGGGGCACTTATGTGAGAAACCAGCTAATGCTGGATCCTAGCTGTTGGCAAACTCACTCTTTACACAAGAGTGTAAACGTGCATTTCCACCCCGAACACGCTAAGGGAAGAGGACCAGGGTGTCACAACCCTCAGTGTGGTGAGTGGGGCCCTCCGACACCGGTGACAGAGGAAGAAAAGAACCTCGGGAGTTCCCGGGACCAGCTCCCGACCAGTGCAGCCGTCAGAGGTCAGACGAGGTGCGAGCCCAGGGCAGAGGCCTTCAGGGGACGCCGGCGCTGCCCCACAGAGGGAACGGACTTTCCGGAGAGGGGGGTGACGATGAAGAGGGCACCGCGGGCAGAATTCTGTGCAGGCCTGGGGTCCTGGGAACAGGCGTCCCAGCTCCTCCAGGGGTGACCGCACTGACGTCTGAGGTGAGGACAGGAAAGGAAAGACGGGGCAGGGCGCGTTACAGGAGCCTAAGGGCCGCAGAATGCTACGGAGCCTTCCCGCAGGCTACACGGATGAAGGACACGCGCCAGAGACAGCGGAGCAACCACTGCACAGCCACACGCTGGCCTACGTAACAGGAAAAGAACTCCAACCCTAGTTACTGGCAGGACCATGTCCCGGCGTTTGGACTGCGCACCCTGGCGAGCAAACTCGGAGAAGCAGGCAGGACACGCACACCCACGTGGGTTCGAGGAGCGGTTCGCAGCGTGGGGACCAGCCGCAGTGTCCTCACACAGGCGCGCACACGCAGGCAGGCAACAGGAGAGAGGCCAGCCAGGCTGCCTTCCCGAGCGGCGCAGCTAATTGGCGTGGGAGAACGCCCACACCCATCATACCAGAGCCTCGGGCACATCACCGCTCCCCGCCGCCCTGCGGGGTCAGAGCTGGGGGAAGAGCTCACACCACAGGCCGGGTTGTGCGGGGCTTCCATTACCCGCGGCACCGCACGCCCACAGCGGCGCAGCTTCTCCCGAACGCCGCGCCCCCGTTGCCCACAGCCCCGACAGATCACGCGCCAACCCCTTAGAGGAGCCCCCTGGCGGCACGGATGAAGGGGAGTACTCACTCTTACTGTAGCAGGTGGCCAGCACGCCCTTGTCCGCGGGGCTCGCGCTGATGTGCCAGATCTCGCCCACCTGGTGGAGGAGGACGTTTTTGTTTATGATGTTGTTTTCGTCGTCGAAATCGATGATGTGGATCTGCACACACAACAGAGAGAGTGCGTGAGGGATTCGACGGCGGCACAGCGGAGGCGCGGAGGCCGCGGAGGCACCGGGGACGGCCACGCCCATCACGCCAGCAGCGCGCAGCTCCGCACACCCACCTTCCCGCCGCCTCCCCGCAGAGGAGCGCAGCTGGGTGCTGTGAGCAGGCGCCACGCTGGCGCACCTGACGCCTCCTGTCTCACTCAGCACGTCGGCGCTCTGCGATGGTAATGATAAGAGCCCTGCATGTCAGCCACTACAGTGAAAAGTTAAACGTACTATCTCCCTGCTTTGCCAGATAATTTGGGGGGGGGGGGAATTAGAATAATTTTCACACCCACTCTCTTATCAATACCTAAGTCAATGAGAAAGATAAAACATTAACTTCAAAAATAAACTCACACTAAGAAAATAACCATAGATCTGCACCAAGACTCGGACCAGAGAATGTTCATGGGGCACTGATCGTCATCTTGACAAGTCGGAAGTCACCTCCAGGTCTAGCAGCGGGGACTGCTCCCATGAAGTGCCGTGTGACCACACTGTCACAACGGGCGCACTCAGGGTGCTACAAGAGCCAGGGCAGGGCCGCCGTCTCTCTTGAAGGGAGAGAGGGGGCGGCCCTGAGCTTGCACCCCCCCAGCTCCCACCCCCAAGCTCGCGCCCCCCACATCTGCTGGGGGAACAGCAGCTTCATCCACTCGAGGGCCTGGAAGGGGACTGGTTATCTTCGGGTGGCTGGCGAGAGCTCCTCCCTTCCTTCCACGGGACCGTCTGCATTTTTAGCCTTCCTTTCCTGACCCGCACAAAGCTTTGCCATCAGGGTTAAGTGCTACACCCCATTGTAAACGACGTTGTGACCCCGACAGGAATCGCCCTGGTTAAGGGGGCCTCCATTCTATCCCGAGCACTTCCACCCACAGGGTCTGCACCCGACAGTGACCCAGGCTCTGTAGGGACCCCTTTGGACTCGGAGTCCAACCCGGCCTCTGCCACGGAACCCCGTGTGGCCCTGACCTCAGTATCCCCGCGTACACACTGATGGCTGTCTGCCCTCGGGCACGGCGTCTGCCCCGCGCACACTGGGACTGCAGGGAGCTGTTCTGCTGGGTGGATGCAAGCAGTCACAGAGACCGTAATACCACGGAGCAGGTGCTAGAGGTAAGGCGAGTGTGAAAGGTGAGGGGCACAAAAGAGGGACCGACCGACGTGGGCTCAGAGGGCGGGGAGGGCCAGTGGCCGGCCGGATCATAGCCGTCACGTTAAAGCATTCGTGCGTGTCTGGTTCTTAAGATGTTTTTAACAGCTTCTCGCGAAGACCAAACCATCATGAACTTGAGGCATTGGGTTACCATCATTAAAACTGCTACAGTTGGGCTCACCAGGGCAGGGGGGTCAAAGCGCAGGCATGCGGGTCATACAGTGTGTCGGGGAACCCTAAGGTGGTAGTCAGCACCCTCCCTTGGAGAGTTGGGGCTCAGACACAGGGGTCCGGTGCCCCGGCCCAGCCCCTGCAGCGGCCCAGACCAGACGTGAGCACATGAGTTCAGCCCTGCCCTGCCTTTCCATCCCCCTCCCGATGAACGGAAGGTCAACAAACCCCTGAAAAAAGTGTGTCAGTGCAAAAACTGAAAATGAGAAGTGAACAGCTAAGGCTCACCTCTGAGCAAGCTCCTTCCTGCCACTGGGCACACAGCCCCCCCAGGGGCTGGCAGAACAGCCCTGGCTAGAAGAGGGGCTCCCCTGCCCACGACACAGCCCCCGCCACTCGCCCCCTGCTCCCCAGGGCCTCACCATCTATGTATCCCACCCTGTCACAACCACAACAAAAGTCCCCTCCCACTGGTCCTGCCCTTCCCCTAGAACACCACACAACCAGCCTCGAGACCCCCACGCAGGGCCACACGCCCCAACCTCTTCGCACCAGCTCTCTCTCACCCCACCCCATGGGAGCACCTGAAGGCCCAGCTCCTCCCGTGGAGGCCTGGGCCGTGGGGCGGGGCCCGAGCTCCACCTGGGTGTCTAAGGCCTCTGCATTGCGGCTGAAATGCGGACTGTTCCTGCAGAGAAGGCTTGAATGGCGGGTGAAAGACTGGGCCTGGCCAAACACACCCCCCGTGCACTCGGGGCGGCACTGCCTGCTCGGTGGGGTGAGCGCTCGGCTCCAGCACACAAGCCCCGTCTGTCCCGCCCCCACCCGAGGTCCCAGCGCCGTCCTGCAGCTGGGAGCGGGACCCCACACTCCACACCCTCCCTCTGCCAGCCAGGACGCCCCCTGGACAGAAGGGGCTCCGTCCCTTGGGGCACGTCCCAGACAGCACCTTGGGTGGCACACCTTAGACACTGAACTTGAGGGGTGAAGAGAGTGTATCAGAGCCCCTGAATTCGGCAGGCCACCTGGAACCATACAGAAATGGGAACGGTGAGGTTTCCACCACTGCTGAGCTGCTGGTCCTGCTTCATCCAGGACTGGGCTCCTGGGCCAGTCGGTTCCTGTCTCACTGTAGGGAGGGGCGGTGCAGGAGGGGGGGAGAGTTCCAGGCAGTCTGGCCCGGGGCCCAGAAATCTGATTTCTAACAAGGAGGCCGAGTGCAGGACTTGCCAGCAGAGGGGGGCACTGTGTGACAAAGCTACTCTTTATCAACCTGCAGACACAGGACTCCTGAGCGCACAGATGAAAAGGCAAGAACGCACAGGGATAGCTCTGCAGGGGGGAACAGCACCAGCGCACTGTCACTCTCCAAGGGCTGGGGCCTGACCCTGACCCTGACCCTGACCCCAACCCCAATCTTCAGGGCCAAGCTCCGAGGGGACAAGTCAGGAGCCTCCTTGGAGCACCTGACACTCATCCACCACCTGCATATGAAACAGGGGCTTAGTCACCTGCAGTGAAAACCTTGGGAAAAGCAAAATGGAAGCCAACAAACCCCTCCCACCTGAAACCCCGGCCCCACCACGCCCCTCCCAGCTTCCCCCAGATCCAGCGGCTACCGCCCCTGCTCAGGAGGGAGAAGCCGGGGCACAGACTCCAGGCCCACTCCCTGCCCGGCACGGAGCCCTGTGCACAGGAAGGGCCAGAAAAGCGCACTTCATCCACAAAGGAGGCCGGCCGGCATTTGTGACAGCTCCTGGCCCTTCCAGGGAACAGAGCGACACAGGAACTGAAGGCCTGAGGCACAGCCCGGGGAGTAAACACCGGCAGGCAGCCCCACCCCCCAGGAAAGGCCTGGGAAGGGGGGGGGGGCACAGCGCCACGGAGGAAAAGGGATTCTTCTGTCACAGCTCCCTCTGCGGCACAGCCACTGTGAACTGCACAGTCAGTGCAGGCGGACAGGTGCAGCAGGGCATCTTGGTCCCAATTCTGTCACATTCCAGCTGAGTCGCCTGGGACAAACCATGTGACTGCATAGGGCCAACTTCCTCGTACGTCTAGAAATGGGTTCTGTCCCCTGAGGTGGCAGGTCTGGGAATGGCCCCATCCAGCCCGGACCTTGACTCTGGGGTCGGGGGTCTCCTACAGCCACCCCCGCCTCCCTCCTGGAGCCCGTGTTGACCTTTCCGCCCCACGTGCACTCCACGGTGGGCCCCTGACAGTCGGCTGCGGGACACCTGTGCAGGTGCACAGCCACCTGTGACCATCCCGGAGCCACCGGCGGTCCCACTCGTCCCAGTGCAGAAGGGCAGCTCAGGGCGAGGTTGTGGGGGAAGGAGACTCGGTGACGGTCTTCTCGCCATCCCCGCAGGCTCGGGGGTCGCCCTGCGATGACACTGCTGGGAGACCCAGGGACAGCGGTCCCTCCCACAGACAGCAGTGGGGCCTGTGGCGACCATGCCCACCCCCCCTGGGCCTCCTCTCCGCAGAAGGCAGGTACCACCCAGCCCGGGACGCAGGCTGGTGCCTGGGGCAGCCCCACGGCAGGGTCCCTGCAAACACACGTCACGTGTTAGAAGAAACACATGGGTCGCATGTGACCAAGAAAGTGTTGTGTGTGGAAACTGTGTGCCTCCCATCACATATGAGAACACAGGTCGTGTGCAAGAGGAACGTGCATGCGGCACATGGGAACACATGTGAACACCACGTGGAAAGACGTTCGTGTGTTGCGTGTGCACAGAATGTCACCTGAGGAAACACAGCTGTCTCACTGAGGGAGGCCCCTGTGGTGTGGGAGGGAACATGCGTGTGGAGCCCGAGGGCCGCTGCACCTGCCCTCCCACCCCCAACCCTGGCTTCCCCTGGAGGAAGGAGTCCCAGTGCTAACAAACAGGGCGGAGGGCAAGCGACACACACACACCCCCCGTGGCCTGAAGGCCTCAGGAAAAGCCCCCTCCTCCACGGTGCTGGCACCGGGGCCCGACGGGAAGCTGGGCCCTGCGGCTGTCGCTGCAGCACCTGCACGTCTGTTCCGCCACCTCCCGGAAAGCGCAGCGTGGAGCAGGGAGCCGCCATTCCCACCCAGCAGCAGAGGACCGAGGAGCCCTGCGGATGCACCGACACCCACGCGGGACGGGTGAGGACCGTCCCAGCAAAGCCACACGCCTCCCAGAACTTCTGTCCTGGAAGAGTATCAGAACCACTCTTCCTAACTGGCGGGGAAGGTGGCGAGGACGTCGTGAGGCCCAGCCTCTTGATCCACCCAGAATGGAAACCGGGCTGGGCCGGAGCCGACAGCCTGCTCCTTGGCTCGGAGAGGACGGCTGCAGGGATGAGACCGAAGACGGAGTGCGGCAGCCAAGCCCTGAGGGGCGGTGCACGCTGCGGGGCGTGGGAGAGGTTTTCCGACGGCGCTGTGCTGCTCACGGTAACGCGTGAGCTGAACACAGAAGTCCCCCGAGCCTGCCGTCCGAGTGCCGCCCCTGCAACAAGGGGCAGAGGCCCAGCGCCGACCGGCACAGCCTGTGTGCGCTTCCCCAGGGTAAGGGTCAGGTCAGGGACAGCGCCCTTCCACACAGTCACGCACCTCTATTTAAGGAAAGGAACAAAGTCCAGCAAGGTTAGGCCATTTGCTCAAGGCCACATGGTCAGGGTCAAGCCGTGAACTGAACCCTGGTCTCACGAGTACCCAACATCCTTTCTTCTCATGTGGCCAGAACAGCGAAGTGCCTGCCGGGCCCGCTGGGGCCACTGCCCAGAGCACCGTGTGCAGACAGGGCCTCAGCAGCGAGTGGCCGTCCCGGCAGGGAGAGGGGCTGGTGCCCACCACGGACCCCAGGCCGCCTCTCAGTCACGGACACAGTAAATCCTTGTGACCACAACGGTGCCAACAGTAACGCCACACAGGTAAGGGTCAGTTCCTGAACCCAGCCAGTTCCTACAGCCGGACACCCAAATCCCAGTGAAGCTCCGCTCTGTCTGTGCGGTGTTCGTTCACCGTCGCAAAGGAGGCTTGAACCATCAAGAGCAAAACAGTCACAAGACTAAGGGTGGGTTCGTCATGAACACGCGTGCGCTGGTTGGACGCAGTTACCTGATTGTCGTACTTGAGAGACTGCGTCCCGACCAGGAACCGGATGGCGTCCGTCTCCGCGGTCTGCGGGCTGAGGGCACGTGCCTGCGGAGGAAGGAGAGAGAGCACAGGCGTTGGATGCCGAGTGTCAGGGACGCAAGGGCAGGCGGCCCCGCCCCCACTCGCAGTCAGTGCAGGGGGAGGTGAGGGGGCCCAAAGCTAAGCAGTGAGGAGGTAAACTGTGCCATTCGTGCAACAGCACCGGGCTGGTGGAACACATCAGCCTCGACAGCCCACCACGCAGCGCCCCCCAGACATGGCAGAGCAGGGGGGCTTTTTTAAAAAAGATTTTACTTATTTATTTTTAGAGGAAGGGGAAGGGAGAAGAAAGAGAGGGAGAGAAACACCAATGTGTGACAGAATCATTGACTGAGAGCAACTGGGGACCCGGCCGCGCAACCCAGGGACGTGCCCTGACCAGGATCAAGCCGGCGACCTTCAGTTTGTCCACCTCTCTGTCTCGGTTCACCTCACCACTCAAGGAGGCAGACAGGAAGGCCGCATGCTCAGTTCCCACGCGGAGATGAAGACACGGAGCACCAGAGAGGGCAGCTGACCACGGCCCGGCCACACAGCTTCTAGAGCAGAAGGACAACCGGGGCCCTGGCCAGGGCCCAGCTCTTTCTCTATCACCACGAGGAAGCAGGGAACTGGAAACGCAGGAGGACCTGTACGTGCCTGGGTGACAGGAGATCACGGGGGGCTTCACCAGAACCCCACTCGCCCCGCCCAGGTTCCGAGGGAAAGCTGGGCCCCTTCCGAGCTCTCTCCCAGCCTGCCACGCCCATTTGGAGGACCGCACAGGTAAGAGGCAGCTGGAGAGGCTGAGTGTCCAGACAAGGGCAGGGAAGAGCCGCCAGGTCCAGGTCCGACCAGGTCCACTGAGTCACAGGGGCCTGAAAACGAGCCCCTTGGAGTGGGAACTCGGCGAGCAGACTCCCTGGTAAATTCAAAACTGCACTCGTGTGCTTAGCGGGCTGAGCAAGCAAATGACAGCCCTGGACGACAGGAAGGGACTGTACCCTGGTCCTCGTGCTTATTCAAGGGCCCTCCCCTTCAAAAGCCCCACTCCAGACCCAGGGAAGGCCCGAGGCCACGGGAGACCAGCGGGCACAGAGGGGCTTTCACTCTGTGCAGTCGAGTGGCAGAGTAGGGACAGGTTGGCCCCACCACCCCAGTGAACGACCTCCCTCCGGAAAGGACTCCTCTCCCAGAGCCGCCCCAAGTCCTGAGGCCGGCCCCCCAGACAGCGAGGACCACCTGGGTACCTCCTGGATAGTGCAGACCACGTCCTCAGGGTTCCAACAGATTCCCTGAAAATAACAAGAGAGTCTCCCCGAGACTCTTCATTATTTTCGTCCCCTGAAAATGATGAAGAAAGTCTCCCTTTCCTCATTCATGCTAAATGCCCATCTCTCATCTCCACCGCAGAAAACACAGGCTGCCTGAGCAAAGGAAGGGTTTCAAAGTGATGCACATAAGTAGTCAGAACAGAACAAAGACTTCCAGTCAAGATGGTGGGGTAGGCAGACATGGCTCGCCTCCTCCCACAACCACATCAAAACTACACCTAAAACACTGAGTAACCATCACTCGGAACCTCAGAAATTGAGCTGAATGGAAGCCCGACAACTACGAATAGAAGAAGCCACACCCGTCCGGACGGGCAGGAAGGGCGCAGGTGCAGAACGGGCTGGTCCCACACCCTCGTGTGGTGAATAAAAATCTGGGAGGACATCTCAGGAGCGAAGAGTCCCAGCCCCACACAGGCCCCCAGCCCAGGGTTCCAGTACCAGGAGAATAAGTCCCAACAGTTCTGGGTGCAAAAACCAGTGGGGACTGAGTCAGTGAAAGAATGCTGGAGCCCCGGCCAGTTCCTCTTAAAGAGCCCACTCACAGACTCCCCTATCAGACTCACTCCCTCTGAGCTCCAGCACCTGGGTAGCAGCTGGAAGGGCCCCAGTGGCCCACGGGGAGAGACCGAAGTGTCTGGCATCAAGGCAAGCGGAGGCCATTGTCCCTTTTCTGAGATCTCCATCCACAGAGCCACGGAGCCAGCAGGCTGCTCCCATATCTGAGACTCCACCAACCTGGCTACACTGTTGGCCCCGCCTTGGAGATGCCCAGAGGCTCCGCCCCACCCAGCTAACTGGCACACCCAACCTCTTTTTCCATTTGTAAGGCTGGTCTTGCCTCATACTGCACAACTCCGTAAATCCTCTCAAACCAGCAACAGCTGGTCTCAGTGAGCCCCTGTACCTCTTGCTAAATGGCCTCAGGCCCAGCACTAACAGCCGCCAGCCTAGGTTCACATCTTGGCTTTGCCTGGAAATCTCCAAGCCCAGCATAGGTAGCAGCCTCCTCAGACTGCTTTACAGCTCAGGCAGGGTGGCCCCGGGCAAAACTGGTGGGGGCTGACCTTGGCCTGCACCACCCAGGAAACCCCAGGGCCAGCACACCCAGAGGACAGCTACAGACCATGTCACAGCACCAGCATCCTGCCCCTGCACAGCTGATCCTCCACAGAGGGCAGAGGGTGCTGGTCAGTGGTCACAGCCAGCCCTTACAGCTGACTGGTCTGGGTAAATCCCTCCCATTGACCTGCCAACAGAAGCCAAAGGCATGACTACAACAGGACGGTGAACTCAGCCCACACAAAGGGTGCACCTCAAGTACCCCGGGTTGGGGGATAGGGGAGGCCGTGCCACTGGACCCCGCAGAACACCTACTACATGAGGCCACTCTACCAAGACATGGAGTCTAAGAAGCTCTACCTAAGACATAGGAACAAACACAGGGAGGCTGCCAAAGTGAGGAGACAAAGTAACACGGCCCAAATGAAAAGACAGATCAAAACTCCAGAAAAAGAGCTAAAAGAAATGGGGATAAGCAATCGATCAGACGCAGAGTTCAAGACACTGGTTACAAGGATGCTCAAAGAACTTAGTGAGGACCTCAGCAGCATAAAAAAGATCGAGTCAGAAATGAAGAACAGACTATTTGAAATAAAGAACAATTTCCACGGATACAACAGTAGAGAGGATGCAGCTGAGAATCAAATCAATGATTTGGAACATAAGGAAGCAAAACACAACAGATCAGAGAAACAAGAACCCCCCAAAAATGAGCACAGTGAAAGCAGCCTCTGGGACAGCTTCAGGAGGCCCAACGTTGGCATCAAGAGGTGCCAGCATGAGGAGAGAAGGAGCAAGAAATTGAAAATCTATCTGAAAAACATAATGAAAGAAAACTTCCGTAATTTGGTGAAGGAAATAGACATGCAAGTCCAGGAAGCACAGAGAGTCCCCAACAAGGTGGATGCAAAGAGGCCCTCCCCCAGACACATCACAATGAAAATGCCAAAGGTTAAAGATAGAAAAATATTAATGAGCTCTGTATTTTCTGATTGTAATGACCCCTCAGTGTCACTGTTCTGCCTTTTATTTGCAGTAGAAGTACCTCGCTTGACCCTCCAAGCCTCCTTTCCCGCAGCCAATGGTGAAAAACCGGATCCCCATCTTTTAATGTGAACTGTTGTCCACATGATTTGCACATCACTGATGGCCAAGCCTCTGCAGTAACTTCCGATTCTTTCTATGTTTCTGCAGTAATGGCTCTTCAAGTCAAGGAAGTCATGGCCCACAGAGCCGTGCAAAGTAAACAAGAGCAAAATGCAGCCACTTCTTTTACAACAACAATAAAAAAACTCAGTCCTGGCTGATGTGGCTCAGTGGATTGAGCACCGGCTTGCAAACCAAAGGGTATCCAGTTCGATTCCCAGTCAGGGCACGTGCCTGGGTTGTGGGCCAGGTCCTCAGTGGAGGCAGGCCCATCAGAGGCAGCCGTACATTGATGTTTGTCTCCCTCTCTCCCTCCCTTCCCCTCTCTAAAAATGAATAAGTAAAATCTTTTTTAAAAATTCAGATATAATATTTAACGCCCAAGACAATAACATTTTAGTGACCTCAAAGGCCCAACACCAAAGATCAAAACCTCTGGGTTACTGAGGAGGGCTCTTAAGACCGGGACCTGCTAAGCAGCTCTGGCGGAAGACACCTGCCCACTGGGCAGGACGACCGCGGAGTCGTGGCCTCCGTGCCGCGCCGACATAGGCGCCCCAGTGCTGCCGGGTCCAGGAGGAAGCAGGATGCCTTTGAGGTTAAGACACCCTGGCGCTGGGTTGGGGTTAAAGCCCACCTGCATCACAATCCTGCCCCTATCATTTTCTCGCTAACTGCCCTGGGACCACAAAAAAACGGCATCTACCCCCGTGACTGCGCAGAGAGCTAAGTGAAGGTCTGCACAGTGCTAAGGAGAGTGTCCCCGACAGCTGGCGAGTTCTCCATCACTTGTGGGGCAGGCCAGCCGCCGAGCCCCGAAACAGTCACCGCTGCTCATGGGGCACTTGGACGCTGCCTGGCGTGGGGCTTGCCTGTGAAAACTGTCTTGTTACAATAATTGGAACATTACCAAATACTCATTGTGTGCCAGGCACTGTTCTAGTGCCTGAATTAAACGCAGTGACTCATTTGATTTCCACAGCCGCCACGGGGAGTCACTCACAGTCCCCCTGCAGCAGCGAGGAGACTGAAGCCCAGGGTCACACAGCTACCGAGTGCTGAGCCTGGGGGCCCCCCGGCTCTTCCAGAGGGGGCCCAAACTCCGCCATGCTCCAGGAACACTTAGCTGTCTATGACTTCATTCGGAACAATTTCATTAGGTCGCATTGTCAGAGCTGTCCTATCGGCGAGCATTTTAAAGAAACATCAAAAGTGGTGAATTATTATGCAGTCACTTTAATGTTGAAGATACACAACGTTTTCAGCATATTATGCTTTATTATTTCAAGGAAGGTTCAAAACGCAACTGAAATGCAAAAAAAAAAAAGATTTGTGCAGTATATGAAGAAGGTGTGTGATGGATCGAACATGTCAAAAGTGGTTGGTGAAGTTTCTTGGTGCTATGGACATTTTGACCGAGTAATTCTTTGCTGTGGGGCTGTCTTATGGACGGGAAAGTGTTTGGCAGTGCCCCTGGCCTCTCCCCACTAGAAGCCAATAGCGGGCGAGAGCCAACATACTCAAAATATCCAAATCAGTAAAGCTATTGGTGAAAATGAAAAAGGCGTCTCTTATTTTGTGGGAAAAACCTAAGGACCTTTTGGCCCGCCCACTAGTTACCAGCAGGCTGCCTCTCCCGCGGTGGGCTTCCCGGAAACAGAGACCACTGCGCTTTCAACACACACTGGCTGCCCTCAGTTAAGCGCTGGTTAAACCTATGAGCTGTGTTTTACTTCTTTGTATCTGTCCCCCGTTTTCTGAAGCTACTTCAGTAAGGGAGAACCAGCACAGGGCTCTCACAGGCTGGCCGCGCCCTCCCTCCACCGGCCTTCCTCCTGGCACCCCCACTTCACCGCTTAATCTAGGGGTCTGCTCCTTTCACCGTCTTCTGCGAACCACCTACGGTGCTGGTCCCCAGAACAGGAACTGGACAATGCAGGATGAAGGAAACGAGACATGAGCGGGGCAGCAGGTGACACCCGCTAACCGGGCCGTCCCGGCCCGCCGGTCTAAGCTCTGACCGTGCGTCGGGGTCGGGGAAGATGTCAACAGTAGGGAGCTGGGTGTGGGGTCCGCCAGAACTTCCTGTCGTCTGTCCCTGCAACTGTGTCAAAAGGAACTGGAAAAATCAGCGTTCCTGCCCCCAGGAGCGGCGGGGCGAAAAGGTACACGCGCTATGGCGCGGGCTCTGTGGGGAGAGTCAGGCCACGCGACGCCCTGGACGGTGGAGCGAGGCGGCGGGGGCAGCCAGGCGGGGCCCCGGCCTCGCTCGTGGGGCCAGGTCCTTCGCCGCCACCGCCGCCCAGGGCCTTTGCTGCACGGGGACGCGGGGACCCACCTGGAACTCCAGCCCGTAAATCACGGGCGCGTCGTCCTCCATGCTGTGGCTGCCTGCCCACCTCTGGCCAGTCCCAGAGCCGGCGCGCCCTCAGCTCAGCGCCCATTCATTCCCCACCGCCCTGCCGGCGCTGAAACAAGACTCTTTCTGTCCCAACGCAGCTGCCGTAGGGCCCACTTCCTGTGTTTTTCTGAGGCGTCTTCCACACGCTCCACGCCGGCGGCGCCCGGATCGCGCGCATGCCCAGTGAGCTCTCATCCGGGCTCTGGGCTCTGCGGAACCCCAACGGGCACCGGGAGGCGGAGACGCTGGCGGGGTTACGGCGCGGGGGGCGGGGCTAGGCGGGGACTCCTGGGTTTGCTGTTGGAGGCTGCCGGGAGCCTCCTCCCGGAATCCTGCTGGGCCACCTAGTCCGAAAAGCGCTCACCGGGGCGGACTGCGTGCTTTGTTACTTGAGTACCCTCCCCAGCACGAGGACAAACGCTTTCTAGCCACTGTCCGTTGTGTTTCTGGCACCCCGCATCCTCAGTACTAAAGAAACATACTTCCATTTACAGCTGAGACACTTGGTGCCGGGGCTAGGCTGCTGACTGCTCTCCCTGACTCCATCGGGCTGGGCCCAGGATTAAACCAGGGCCCAGCAGTATAGGTGGCCTGGGGAATGCATCGCATTCCCCATGCCGACTGATAGTGACGCCGGCTTGGCGGGGCTGGCGGAACCTGAGCACCATTTGACAGTGAAAGGGAATCAGCTGGGAAAGACCCTGGGTTCTCCCACCCCCAGGTGCCCAAGAACCATCTTGGTCCTCTTAAGCAGTACTCCCAAAGTGTTAACAGGGAGCAGGCAAGAGGGAGGCCCCAAATAGGTATTTGGAATGGGGTCCAGAATGCAACGTGTCCAGGAAAAATTAGAAAGATATATAGGATGTCCTCACCGCCCCCACCACCACAGGTGAGTTGGGGGGAAGGAACTTGGCGCGGGGATTTAAACCCATTTGCTGCAGCTATTAAGGGGCGAACCACGCGGTTTTGCCAGAGTGCAGACCCTCACAGCTTTGCAGAGGAGAACCACTCGGCTGTGGCAGAGCGGGGACCCCCGCAGCCCGGTGAGGGAGAATCTCCATGAGGCTGTAGCTGAGAACCACCACTCGGCTTTGGCAGAGTGGAGACCCCCCTCGCAGCTTTGCCAAGGAGAACCATGCAGCTTGATCCTAGCCGAACACACAACTGATGGTCTACTACTTTTCCTGAGAAATGGTACCCCAGTTTAGGGCAGAGGGAGAAGGAAGTACTGTGTGTGTGTGCGCGCGCGCATCTGTGGGTCTAAAGGACTTTCATATTTTAATGAAGACATTAGGTCAGTACTTTAAGTCTGTATAGCTTTAAATAAACATTTCCTTTTCACAAATCTCTGGCACTGAGAGACGACTTTCCTCTCTGGCAGCGCACAAACAAACCTGCCACATCCAACGCTAACCATGTCGTCTGACAAAGTCAGGGCATGGGGACTGCGACTTCACAGAAGTGTGTTCCGGCCAGGTGGACGTGGCATAAGTGGATATATGGTGTTGATTCTGTTCTTGCTGTCTCTTGGTATTCTGACATTTACTTTTCTGATAATTTGGAATCTCCTAGAAATGATGGCCATTCTCAGAGCTGATCAACAACTAGGTCAGATTGAGAACTATGCCACCTTGGCCTTTCCCCAAAATAATACCCTCTCTGGGGGCCCAGAGGAGGAAAGGCCCACAGTGTCCAGTGAGTCCAAGGGGAAGAATATTTCCTTCCCTGACCAAGTTAAGCAGATGCAGAACAAGTTAATATTAGGTAGCAGGGAGCCAGAATTACCCAGAGCGCTCCCCCAAGTTAATCCCCTCTAATGAAATAGCCCCTGAATATCTAAAAGTTGTTGGAGTAACAGCCCCTCCTTTACCTTGAATAGGAATATATATTAATTAGAATTTAGTAGGCAAAGAAATAGGAGAAGCTTGTTAGATACTGTAAACTAATCACATACATACAATTACCAAGGAGTTAGAGTCCATAGTACATAGAGAAACATTTTGGACAGAAAGATAGCTAAGTTAGACATTACAAAGGCCTTATAATAAATTTCCTAACCTCTGCTCGGTCTAGCATACCTTTTGCCCCATGCCAAATTCTAGACCTTTAATAAACAATAAGACATTCAAACTCTGTACATAGAGCTATTTCAAATTGTCTGATTAATGGTTCTCCTGGTCAAAACAATTTTTGTTTAATATAACCGAAACTATGGAAATTCTTTTACTTTTCCTGGTTACCTTTGTATTGATTTTTCCTGCTTAACTGATCATGCTATACACCTGCAAATGTTAATCACTACCTAAAATGAAAATATAAAAACCTGCTTGTACTTGCAATAAACGGAACAGAGCTTCACTGTCCTTTGAGGAGTGTTGTTGTCTGTTACGCATCGCCGACGCCTTACCCACCTTCAGGAATCCCTGGACCCTGCTGAGGCTGGACCGCGGAACAAACCTACTGGGGGGTCCTTTTGGTAATAGTATATCGCACCCCCCCTTTGGCCCTGTTCTGTACCAAAAGTGTGTGCCTGGACACCAGGCCATGCCCATGTTACCCAACCGAAGGGGTTTGTAGCTTGGGGTGTCCTGTTCAAAACTGGGGTATGGTTGCCCTTAGATATTTTATTTACTTATAGCAAGTCAAAGAGAAGGGATTCTCCCAAACCTTGTCTTTCAGGAGGGAGGCCTAGCCTTGGCTCTCACACACTGTTACGTTAATTGAGGTCTTTTTGGCAGTTAGCTAACCCTGTTCTGTTGCGTTCCTGTCAGTCTCATCTGGTTATAGCTGCCTCTGCAAAGTACTGTTCTGCATTTTAACATGCAGCAAGGCCTAGCATTGGGCAATGAGTGCCCCAGACTTTGAGACCCCCATCCTATGTAACACCCTTGGCAGACAAATTACATTGAATGTAATCCCAAAGCTATAGCTGCACCGTCTTCCATAACCTGGGTTCCAATATTTTCCAGGACTATGAATTTCTTTGCTGTTCGTGTGGTTAACTTTTCTCTCCACCAGTAATCTTCCAGTAGTTTTCATAAAAAATAACTGAGTCTGAAGCAGGTGTAGGAAAGACGCTCAACATGACTAGTCAGCAGAGAAATGCAACTCCAAACCCCATGAGGTATCACCTCACACATGTTAGAGTTGCTATTACCAAAACGTCAAAAGGTAACAAGTATTGGCAGCACTGGAGAAAAGTAAAACCTCAGGCATTGTTCATGGAAATGGAAATTAGCACAGTCACCATGGAAAACAATAAGAAGATTCCTCAAAGAATCAAAATAAAACTACCATATGATCCAGCAATCCCACTTCCGTGACCCGAAGGCAGGGGCGGGGGCGGTGGAAATCCTGTCTCAGAGGTATGTGCATCCCATGTTCATTCCGGCCTTATTCACAGTAGCCGAAAGATGGAAGCAACCTAAGTGTCCATCAGCAGCTGAATAAAGTCATGGCCGGTGTGGCTCAGTGGATTGAGTGCTGGTCTGTAAATCACAGGGTCACTGGTTTGATGCCCAGTCAGGGCACATGCCTGGGTTGCAGGCCAGGTACCCAGTAGGGAGCATGCGACAGGCAACCACACATCGATGTTTCTTCTCTTTCTTCTTCCCTTCCCCTTTCTCTAAAAATAAATAAATTCTAAAATCTTTTTTAAGAAGAGCTGAATAAGGAAGATGTGAGCTTATATAGCTGAGCCAATCCTTGACCAGTGCAGGGTTTGGGGACGCCGGCCGCCCCTTGCAGTGGAAAATCTACGTGTTACCTTTGACTCCCCCAAGACGACAGTACTCCCTCCATAGCTGTGGTCTTGGTTCCAAGGCCCCCCATAGACACTGAAATCCACAGATGCTCAAGTCCCCTGTATAAAACAGCATAGATCAATGCATATAGTCGGCCTTCCATCTCCGAAAATTCTCAACCACAGATCAAAAATGACACAGAAATTTGCTGGAAAATGCTTGTTTAAGTGGACCCGTACAGTTCAGACTCCTGTTGTTCAGGAGTCACCTGTGTGTGTGCATGTATGTAGAGTGGAATCTTATTCAGCCATAAACATAGAGGAAATCCACCCTGGAGGGGCAGCTCTGTTGCTTGGTTGCGTAGAGCACCATCCCAGAGGCGCTAGGTCGCAGGTTCAATTCCCTGCCGGGGTGGGTGGAGGAGTCAGTGACGGGTGTGTGGGTCGGCGGAACAGCAAATCGATGTTTCTCTCTAAAAAATCAACATACAAATATAGTTTTTAAAAAAGGAAATCCTGCCATTTGCGACAACATGTATGAACCTGGAGGAAATTAAGTGAACTAAGAAAGACACAGAAAGACAAATACTGCATGATCCCATTTACATACGGAATGTAAAAAAGAAATGTGAAGTCACTGTAAGACAGTGGAATACTGATTACCAGAGACAGCGGCAGGGAGACTGATCAAAGGGCACAAACCTTCCATTATAAAATAATGAGGTCTGGACACCTGATGTACAAAAGTACAGTTGCTACTAATAGATCCTGTTTTTGCAATTTGCTGAGTGGATATCAGATGTCATCAAACACACACACACACAAGATAACCGAGGCGATGGATGGGTTCATTCAATTGTGGTCATCATTTCACAATGTATACATTATATACCTTAAATACACACAATTTTTCCTTGTCAAAAACAAATTAAAATTTTGAAGGCTTCCAGTCAAGATGGTGGGGTAGGCAGACATGGCTCGCCTCCTCCCACAACCACATCAAAACTACACCTAAAATACCAAGTAACCATCACTCAGAACCCTCAGAAATCGAGCTAAATGGAAGCCCGACAACTACGAATAGAAGAAACCACACCCGTCCGGACGGGCAGGAAGGGCGCAGGTGCTGAACGAGCTGGTCCCACACCCTCGTGTGGTGAATAAAAACCTGGGAGGACATCTCAGGAGCGAAGAGTCCCAGCCCCACACCAGGCCCCCAGCCCAGGGTTCCAGTACCAGGAGAATAAGTCCCAACAGTTCTGGGTGCAAAAACCAGTGGGGACTGAGTCAGTGAAAGAATGCTGGAGCCCCGGCCAGTTCCTCTTAAAGAGCCCACTCACAGACTCCCCTATCAGACTCACTCCCTCTGAGCTCCAGCGCCTCGGTAGCAGCTGGAAGGGCCCCAGTGGCCCACAGGGAGAGACCGAAGTGTCTGGCATCAAGGCAATCGGGGGCCATTGTCCCTTTTCTGAGATCTCCATCCACAGAGCCACGGAGCCAGCAGGCTGCTCCCATATCTGAGACTCCACCAACCTGGCTACACTGTTGGACCCGCCTTGGAGATGCCCAGAGGCTCCGCCCCACCCAGCTAACTGGCACACCCAACCTCTTTTTCCATTTGTAAGGCTGGTCTTGCCTCATACTGCACAACTCCGTAAATCCTCTCAAACCAGCAACAGCTGGCTGGTCTCAGTGAGTCCCTGTACCTCTTGCTAAATGGCCTCAGGCCCAGCACTAACAGCCGCCAGCCTAGGTTCACATCTTGGCTTTGCCTGGGAATCTCCAAGCCCAGCATAGGTAGCAGCCCCCTCAGACTGCTTTACAGCTCAGGCAGGGTGGCCCCAGACAAAACCGGTGGGGGCTGACCTTGGCCTGCACCACCCAGGAAACCCCAGGGCCAGCACACCCAGTGGACAGCTACAGACCATGTCACAGCACCACCATCCTGCCCCTGCACAGCTGATCCTCCACAGAGGGTGGAGGGTGGTGGTCAGTGGTCACAGCCAGCCCTTACAGCTGACTGGTCTGGGTAAATCCCTCCCACTGACCTGCCAAAAGCAACCAAGGCACAACTACAACAGGAGGGTGAACTCAGCCCACACAAAGGGCGCACCTCAAGTACCCCGGGTTGGGGGATAGGGGAGGCTGTGCCACTGGACCCCGCAGAACACCTACTACATGAGGCCACTCTACCAAGACATGGAGTCTAAGCAGCTCTACCTAAGACATAGGAACAAACACAGGGAGGCTGCCAAAGTAAGGAGACAAAATAACACGGCCCAAATGAAAAGACAGATCAAAACTCCAGAAAAAGAGCTAAAAGAAATGGGGATAAGCAATCGATCAGACACAAAGTTCAAGACACTGGTTACAAGGATGCTCAAAGAACTTAGTGAGGACCTCAGCAGCATAAAAAAGATCGAGTCAGAAATGAAGAATAGACTATTTGAAATAAAGAACAATTTCCACGGATACAACAGTAGAGAGGCTGCAGCTGAGAATCAAATCAATGATTTGGAACCTAAGGAAGCAAAACACAACAGATCAGAGAAACAAGAACCCCCAAAAAATGAGCACAGTGAAAGCAGCCTCTGGCACAATTTCAAGCAGCTCAACGTTGGCATCATGGGGCACAGAAATGAGGAGGGAAAGAGCAAGAAATTGGAAACCTGTATGAAAAAATGATGAAAGAAAACTTCCCTGATTTGGTGAAGGAAGCAGATATGCAGGTCCAGTAAGCACAGAGAGTCCCAGTCAGTTTGGACCCAAAAAGGACCACACCAAGATACATCAAAATTAAAATGCCAAAGGTTAAAGATATATAGAGAATCTTAAAAGCAGCAAGAGAAAAGCAGATAGTTACCCACAAAGGAGTTCCCATAAGACTGTCAGTTGCTTTCTCAAAAGAAAGTTTGCAGGCACAAAGGGGCTGGAAGGAAGTATTCAAAGTGTTGAAATGTAAGAACTTAGAACCAAGATTACACTATCCAGCAAAGCTATCATTTAGAATGGAAGTGCAGATAAAGTGCTCCCCAGATAAGGTAAAGTTAAAGGAGTTCATCATCACCAAGACATTATTACATGAAATGTTAAAGGGACTTATTTAAGAAATAGAAAATCAAAACTATTAAGATGACTATTAAGATGACAACGAACTCACAACTATCAACAACTGAATCTAGAAAACAAAAACAAACTAATCAAACAACCAGAATAGGAACAGAACTGTAGGTGTGGGCATCAATCACCTGGAGGGTTATTGGCAGGGAGGCAGATGGGGGAGAATAGTGGAAAAGGTACCTGGATCAAGAAGCACAACTGGTAGCTACTAAATAGGCAAGGGGAAGTTAAAAATGGTATAGGAAAGGGACAAGCCAAAGAACTGACACCCACAACCCATGGACTTGAACTAAGGGAGGAGAATGCTGGAGGGAAGGGGGGTACCAGGTGGAGGGGGTAATGAGAAAAGAATTGGTACAACTGTAATAGCATGATCAATAAAATATACTTAAAATAAATTAAATTTTTTTATAATTAAAAAGGAAGAAGAAGAAATGGCTGGGTCTGGCCTTGCTCTGTTGTATTCCAGCGCCTAAGGCCTTGTGATGGGCAGAGTTTAGGCTGGATGGCTATTTGCTGGATGACTGAGGGGTCTGGGTCCTATGGGTATTATTATTACTACCATTTTTACTATTAATGTTATTATTCAAATAGTACAAATGCACGGCAGGAAAAGCTGAATATACAGGTAGTAGGCACAGCTCCCTGAAAATACAGTCTTTCTAGGGTGCTTTGGCCCAGAGTGCAGAGCAGCGAAAACCCCTCCTCCCCGGCGCCCCCCCCCCCCCCCGGCGCCCCCCCGCCCCAGCTGCCCTTCGGACCGGAGTTCGCTAGTAGCCTCCGACCCCAGGATAACTTCCTGTTCCACTCCCAGCTCTGGGGCCACCGCGCCCCGCCCATTTCTTGCCCAGCGATCACACCTTGAGGCCTAGGCCCCGCCCCCCGGCGCCCAGAAGAGTCGAATGCTGTGCTTCCAGCCCCGCCAGCAGGCCGTGGAGGCGCCAGCTCCTGCACTGGGCATGCGCGAGCCCCGCCGCTGGGCCTGCGCGCATGCGCTGCGGGAGGTGCTGCGCTCACTCCCCCTTCCGGGCTTCCTTCACTTTCTCCCGGCTTCTGGTTGCTGCCGCAGGTGACCCTGTCCCCTACCCTGTGGGCGTGTGGCAGGTGAGGACCGGGCTGCAGGGCTGGGGTCGGCCGGTCCCTCGGCGCCGCTGCGCCGGCCCGGGTCCGCAGCGGGGTGTGGGGCGCGTCGCTCGCGGGGCAGCCGTGGGTAGCAGAGACAGCTGACGGGTCCGGGACCCAGGCCCGGCTCCGGCCCTTGGTGGCGCGTGGGGACCTGCCCGCCACATCCCCGGAGTAGGGAGGGCAGAGGCAATGGTGTGTGCCAGCGTTTAAGTCCCCAGGCAACGTGGGCTGTCACGGCCCATCCTGTCCCTTCCAAAGCCGCGTCGGGACCCGAGGTACCCACAGCACGCAATGCAGTCGACACCGAGAACTCACCTGTTGAAAAGGAGCCACCGGCCCGAAGGCGGCTCCAACGCGCTTCTGTTTTTCTCACTCCCCCACAAGACTCGCACCCCAAAACCATGTTCTTGGGCCCTGGTTCCTACCTTTTTATGGCTGCTAGGGGATGCTTCCTAGGGGACTCTGACAGTGTCAACAGAGAACACAGAGTCAGGCCCAGTGAATGGGGTGGGAGCGGAGCAGAGATGCAGACAGTGTGCCGCTGTTTCCTTGAGTCCGTTCCCCAATTCTGCAGGGTCCTCGCCGTCCTGACATGGTGTTAGTCCCCTGCTCCGCCGCCAGGATTGCAACCACAGTGCCTATGTATGTGCAGCTCTCACAGTCGTTAACTTTAGAGCCAGACGACCCGGAGAGAAGCCTTCCTGTGGGGGTGCACCCACGTTTTGACGTCCCCAGGTCACCAGTAGTCCGAGCTTGCTGTCAAACATTACAAGAAAAAAGGCTTTTGTTTCTTTTGTCATTTAAAGGTAATAATTACTAGATGAATATGTGTCAACACTGGGGAATTAGTGACTGACTACGCTGGACAAGAGACTTCCCCACGATGTTGCACTTTGGTTTTCTGCTGTAAGGAAAAGTAGTCCTGTTCTTGGCCGTCGGGGTGGTCCAGGCTGTAGAAGGAGGGACAGCTAATCTGGGGCACTGTGAGGAAAGTGTTGGCGGGGAGAAAAATAAGTGGATCAGATAAGTAGTTTCCATAGGTCCAGCAGAACAACCCCACAAAACGGCTGCTATCACTTCCTTCCCTTTGGAGATGAGGACACAGGAGTTTATCGAGGCTATAGAGCCTGCTGCAAAGCACAGGGCTAGTGAGAGAGAAGCCAAGTCCCATCCAGGTTGTTCTGAGGGCCAGGGAAGAAGTTAGGTAACTGCAGTCGGAGCGGTGCCGGCTCAGGAAAGCGCCAGCATGTGTCCTCTCGTGGGGTTGGAGGCAGCCATCAGCACACGCTGGTGAGCAGGCCTGCCCTTTCCCGTCTCACACTCCCAGAATTCAGCACCCAACCGGTCAAGCTCAGAGGAGGATGGGGAGATCGTCACGGTTGAGGGGTCTTAGGAACATTTCCTAGAGGAGGGGACCACACCCCTCTGGGATGGCCGCATGCAAGTAAACAAAATGGACAGGGTGGCCATGTGGAGAAATGGAAGTCCTGTGTGTGGTTGGTGGGGATATAAAATAGTGTAACCACAAAAATAGTTTGCTGGTCCCTCAAAAATTGAAGGTAGAATTGCCACACGATCTGGCAAGTCCACTTCTGGGTGTGTACCCCGAAGATTTGCCAGCAAGTGCTCGAAGAGACCTTCGGTCACCCAGGTCCACGGCAGCCGTGTTCGCAATACTCAAGACATGAGAGTGGCCTCAGTGTCCGTCAGCAGGAAAATGGGCCAGCAAATGTGGTCCATCTGTCCAGTGGCTGGTTCTTCAGCCTTGACAGTGAAGGGAGTTCTGACGCCTCCCACAAGCAGATGTACCTGTGGATCAAAGGCTGAGTGGAACACGCCAGTCCTAGGGGGACACATGCTGTGTGGTTCCACTTATACGAGCCCCCTAGGGTCCTCCAGCTGAGAGACAAAGGAGGGTGGTGGCTGCCAGGGGCCGAGAAAGGGGCAGCAGCGGGCAGTTGTTTGACTCGGGCGGGGTCTGTTTCACAGGTGAGGGGAGCTGTGCAGGTGCGCAGTGGTGGTGGTCGCACAGCGGGACTGCACTTCCTGCTGCTGAGCTGCACACTTAGAAGGGACTGGGCCCCGACCAGCGTGGCTCAGTGGGTCGGGCATCATCCCGCCGAGTGAAGGCCGAGGTTCGGTTCCCCGTGGGCCACGTGACTGGGTTATGGATTTGGTCTCTGGTCGGGGGCACAGGAGAGGCAACTGATCAGTGTCTCTCCTGTGTTTCTCCCTCCTGTCCCCGCTCTCTAAGAATAAATACATAAACCTTTTCAAATAAAAAGAAATTATTAGGAAGGTAAAGTTTATCATGTTATGGGTCTTTTACCGCAACATGGCTGGAGAAATGGTGTCTTTTGCATTTTGATGTGAACATAGAGCAGACGAACAGTCCTTAATGGACTTTGTGTTTCTACAGCAGTTTTCGGTCCGCTGCGGAGTTGAGCAGCAGGTGCGGAGACCCCCGTCCCTCCGCCGGCCCCACTCGCAGCATCCCCACCAGCGGGGCCGTGGGGACCTGCACTGGCACGTCGTCGTCACCCAGAGTCCGCAGTGGACACACCCGGGCTGCTCTTGCTGTGGGACTTCCTGTGGGTTTAGACAAATGTGTAGTGACGTGTGCACCATTATAATGACATTTGCCCTTTTTATGAATTAAGGGCAATCTTAATAAGAGGAGAAAAGTCCAACAGCAACTGAGATGGAAAGCTGCTGAGCTGGGTTTTGTCTTGTTCCAGAGACCATGGAGGAGGTGCAGGGCCCGAGCCTGACCGCGGAGCCCCGGGCGGCCGAGGGGCGCGCCCAGAGCCCCACCCCGCAGGCGCCTCCACAGGACCCGGGGCTGCTGTATCAGGAGGAAACCATCGATCTCGGCGGAGACGAGTTCGGGTCAGAGGAGAACGAGACCGCGTCAGAGGATTCTAACAATTTTGTAGACAAGCTCAGTGAGCACATGATGGAGAGCGTCCTCATTTCCGACTCTCCCAACAACAGCGAGGACGATGCAGGTGACCTGGGCGGTGTGCAGGATGTCACTGAAGGCAGCACCGATCACAGACTGGACAGTGCCGTCGATAAAGGTGCGGCCGACGCTCCGGGGCAGGACAGCGAAAGTGATGGAGATGAAGCGTCTAAGGATGTCTCCCAAGAGACCCCCGAGAGCAGAGCCTCCTTGGAGGAGGACCTGGGGCGAGAAGGGAAAGGCCCGCGCACCTGTGCGGATGAAGGCGCAGGGGACTCGGGCTCCAGGAGCCAGGGCCCGTCCTCCAGGCAGCCCTCTCCCGGGGATGAGCCCGTGCCCGTGTGCACCATCTTCAGCCAGTCACAGCCTGCGGCCGCCCCGTCGCCCCCCTTTCTGCAGGATGGCTTCCAGTCTCAGGTGGTGAAGTCGCCTAGTTTCAGCAGTGCCGGCCAGCCGGCCACCAAGACCCCTCCCCCGGTGGTCCAGCCAAGCCCCAGCCTAAGCACGTTTTTTGGAGAGACGGCCAACACCAACTCCTTGGCCTCCGAGTTCTTTGACTCGTTCACAACGTCCACATTCATTTCTGTCAGTAACCCCAACGCAGGTGCTGCGGTTCCAGAACCGCTGTCCTCACATGCTTCCCCGGTGGGAGGGGCCCCCCTGGGTCCTGCCGAGCCCTGCCCCGCAGGGATGGAGAGGTCAGAGCCGGCCGTCTCCGTGGCCTCTCTGGAAATCCCTCAGTCTCCAAAGCCATTTTCCCAGATCCAGGCTGTGTTTGCGGGTAGCGAGGACCCTTTCGCCACCGCCCTGAGCATGAGCGAGATGGACCGGAGGAGCGACGCCTGGCTGCCCGGGGAGGGGACCAGAGACATCCTGAACTCAGTAGCAGCCCAGCAGTACAGCACGGTGTTCATAGACAAGGAGAACCTCACCATGCCCGGCCTCAAGTTCGACAACATCCAGGTGAGGCCTGGGGTTTCCAACGGGATCGCCTGCTCTCAGTTCTCCTCCCCGAGACGGAGGCTCCCGTGTCCCAGCCTGGTCCTCTCACCTGTCTGTGCCTCGTGCCCGTGCAGTGTGCAGGCCAGAGCCGTTGGAAAGTCCTGTTTCCAAGACGCACCCGAATTCGGTCGTGAGAATCTGTTAGGTGGCTGGGTGATCAGAGCCCCGTCCATCTCCCCAGTCTGGGGGAGCTGGGGTCCTGTCCTGGTGGTAGAGACGGACTGGCAAGGCAGACGGTTCCCACGCGGCTCTGAAGCGGCTCCGGACCGTGTGACCGGTTAGTTGTGACACTGGGCTCCAGGAGGGCAGGTCCCCCGTTCACTTCTTTCAATCTCGAGAAAAACGTTTGTGTTGTATGTTATGTGCTTGATGTAGAGAAAGGTCTCAGAGGTTCAGTAAGAGAAGCAAGAATGCCCCCCAAAGTAGTAAATCGTGAAAGTATGTAAGTGTTGTCTGTAGTAAGTAGTAGTGTCAGTTCCGTCTCACTAGGGTGGTGAAGTTATTTCCATTTTCCAGTGTCTACTTAGAATCACTGTGTCTTGTTAGACTGTGGGAGAGCAGCCGGCCTCCGGCAGCCCTGATGGCGCCTCAGTGTAGTGCAGACCTTTCAAAGTAGAGTTTGGAAGTCTGCACCCAAATCCTGCTTTCAGGAGTTTGTAGAAGGAAGTGACCTTGCTGGCACCCAGGAGCCGGCTTCAGGGGTGTGCGTCAGGGCGGGGCTGCTAGTCGCAAAGCGTGCGAAACAGTCGAAAGCCCATTGGCAGGGGGCTGGTTGGAACTTCTGGACTTATCTTGGCACTGGAATGTTTATGCAGGTCTTGGAAATGATATTACACTGGAATGTGTAATGAGGTTCACGTTTTACTGGTAAAGTAGCAACCAGATGTGAGATAGCACAGGGCGAGCATGTTACCAAGCAACCAGCGGGGCCCCACCACTGCCCGCCGCCCCCCTCATTGCAGAGCTCCAGAGGCAAAGGTTTGGTGATAAAGGAAAGGGGTCTTTATTTAAAAGCTTCCCAATTTGGGGGTAACAGCTTTCCACATGCCTTAGTCACCTAAGACTATCAGTAAGGCTAAACTCTTTAACACCTGAGTTCTCCCATCATTTCCCCGTGTTAGACTTTTTTTTTAAATTTTTTTTATCTTTAGAAGGTAAGGGGAAGGAGAGAAGGAGAGAAATATCAATGTATGGTTGCTTCTGGTTCATCCCCTGCTGGGAACTGGCCCCTGCTGGGAACTGGCCTGCAACCCAGGCATGTGCCCTGACGGGGAATCGAACCTTGAACTTTTGTTTCGCAGGCCTGTGCTCAATCCACTGAGCTACACCAGCCAGGGCTCCCTGTGTTAGTTTTAATTATATATTTCTACAGGGTTAGTTTATGAACTAAAACAACGTCAGGCACAAAAGCTGCACAGTGTCACAGGAATGGCAGGCTTCTGCCTCACAGCCACCCCCTCTGGGACGGGGGCACCCAGAGAATAACCTGCCACCCTGGGCCAGGCCGGCCCGACCCTGGGCGGGGCCCGAGTTCCTTCCGTCCAGAATACCGTCCATTTGGAGACGCAGGCAGCTGCAGCTCCATGGCCCAGGCGTCCTTGAGGAGGGAGAGCCCGAGAGGCAGTGACCTTCAGCACCTCCCAGCCCCCTGAGCGGCGCTGGTCTGGGCACGTGCCTGCTCTGTCGGGTCTCTCGTTATTTTTGCTTGGAGGCTGGATGCTGCGGATTTTGTGTTGGGTATATTTTGTTTTCTCTTTTAAAAAAGACTTGTACTTCCAGTAAGAAGGTAGGTTACATGTGCATTTCTTTTGCTTTCTTTCAGGTTATTTTTAAGGGTAAGTTAGAGCAGGTTTTGCTTTGGGGGCCTTTTGACCTGTCCCCCTGGAAGCCTGGGTGATGAGTGACTGTGCTCGCCACTCTGAGGGCCGTCCCAGTGTCTTCCGAATGGCTGCGGGTCCCGCAGTCCGCAGTGCGGGGTCATTTGCTGTATTGTTGCAGCGTTTCACTCTCCCTGGAGTGAGAGGGCGGGACACCCCGGTGGGCAGCTGGGTGTCTTCACGGGCTGTGGGGGGCAGTGCTGTGGGGCCTGGGTCGGGTGCCTGTGACTGCTCAGGTCCCTTACAGTGAAGTCCTCAGTTTGTGAAGCTGCTCTCGGTTCTGTCTTGGCTATGGCTGTTAAAGTAAAAAAGGGACCGCTAGGGCTGTCCCCCCACGGCCAGAAGGGTGGCAGGCCCCGGCCACCTGCTCCTCCACAAACACCTCTGGCAGGAGCGGGGGTCCTCCCTGCTGCCAACCACGAGGAGTCCTGGCTGGCTCACATGGTGTCCCCCACACCTGTCCTCGCCCGTGTGCTGGGGGCCCTCACCCAGCGGCTGACCGAGTGGGAGGAGGCGGCAGGTTCCAGGTGGATCCCGCCCCAGCTGCAGCAGCAGGGCTCCCCACAGGCCCCGGAGACGCGTGCTCCTGCGCCCCAGTGCCAGGCGGGGGTGCAGTGAAGCCCGGGAGCCTGGGCTGCTGCCTGCGGCCGAGTGACAGCCCAGCAGCCGGTCGAGTTAAGGTGACTTGTCACCTCTTTGGGCTTTCGTAGGGGAGATGCTAGTCACACGTGTGCTCACCTCTCAGGAACTTCTGCTAACGTGTCAGCGCACTTTCAGGGCAAAAGGTATTTGCATTTTGGTCAAAGGAACTGAGAGCTGTGGCCAGGGAGGAGTCGAACTGGCTTGTCCCTGCTTCTGCGTGTGCAGGTGTGACCTGCCCTTCCCTGGTTCTGCTGCTCTAGCTCGCACTGGGCTCTGTAAGACCTGCTTGCGTGCACAGCCGTGAGGGCCACGTGGCTGCACCCCTGTTATTCCACCCACTGACGCATTCTAGAGCAGCCGGCCATGCGCCTAGGCCTGGGGACTGTGTCACCCGCTCTCAGTGACCACCGCCTCTGCGCCTGCCCCACACAGTGGGGGTGCGGCCTCTCTGAGCACAGGGTTTGTGCCTGGGCCCAGGCTGGGACCCGTGACCTGGACCCTGCTGCCCCCGCTGCCCCCGCCCCCTTCCCCGGGCGCCAGGGCAGCTTTTCTGACCTCCCGGGCATGTCGGCTCCGTGGGGCAGTGTTTTACGTGTTGCCCTGTGCACCCGGCCGCCCTGCCAGTGCCCCTCCCAGAGAGCGCCCGCCCCTCATCCCCAGCGGTGTCACCTCACACCCTGGGCCTCTGTTATAGCCGGTGCAGGTGGTGCTGCGGGACACACTGCCCCTTCCGGAGAACGAGAGGTCTCAAGTGCACGGTCGGTGGAGGACGGCCGTGCTCCAGTGCCTGGTCAGGCGCAGCTTCCTGTGCCCTGACTGCTCTGTGACCCACACACACCAGCCGCAGGGGGCGGAAGAGGCGTCGGCCGCTGTCGGGTTCGGTTAGCTGTGTTTAGGTAGCGTTTTATCGTCCCGACATGTTTTCCCGCATTCTTTCCAGGGAGACGCGGTGAAAGACCTGATGCTCCGCTTCCTGGGCGAGAAAGCCGCAGCGAAGAGGCAGGTCCTGAGTGCCAGCTCGGTGGAGCAGTCCTTCGTCGGGCTGAAGCAGCTGATAGTAAGTGAGCGTGCTCGGTCCACACGCTTGTGTCCGCGTGAGCCCCGCCTGCCTCTGCGGTGCGTTCCCCAGAGTCGGCTGCCTGGACACGCCACCAGGGCCCTTGCACGTAAGTGTGGCGCTGCTGGACGCCGGCCCCGTGGGCAGAAAGCACCGCGCCAACACACTTGTGAGTCCCATCAGCTTAAAAGCCGTTATTTTAAGGGATCGGATTACTTGAAGCAGCGTATACTTCGATTAGATATGCTTCATCAAATACAGTAACTAGAGATCAGTGATTTCACGTTGATTCTTTAAAAATACTCTGTAGAGAAAGGTCATTTCTGTGCGGGCGGGCAGGCCGGGAGCACGCAGGGCGGTCTTTGCCCACATGCAGGGGCCGTTGTGGGGCACGGGGGTGCTGGGGCCGGGCTGCTGGCACTGCGTGGGCTGCTGGGCAGGTGCTGCTGCAGGTCCGGGCCCCGCAGTGGCCCCGCAGTGGCTGTTGTAACGAGCTCTCGCCTGTTAAGGAGCAGTTACACTCACGCAGTCCTGAGATTGCATTTGGCCCTTTGCAGGCAGTCGAGAGGCTGGTGTGGCCCCCCAGGGAACACGAGTTTGATGCCCCTGTGGTGGAGAAGCTTTGGGAAGGGAAGACTGGTGCTCCACTCTGCAGAGGGAGGGGTCTGTAGACTTGCCTGTTTGGTGACCGAGCGGCGGGGTTGAAAAGGTCAACCCTCCCACGGCCGCATCAGCTGCCGACATGGCTCTCGTCCGGGGCAGCGAGGGCTCTGCTGGTGCCCCCGTCCCTTGGTCTTGAGAAAACAAAGTGCCGTGATGGGCCCGTGAGCCGCAGGCTGTGTTGGGAGCGTGACTTGGTGACGATGAGCCTGGACGGAAGCGCATGCAGAACCGCACACGGTCGCTGCGCTCACCTGCTCCACAGGCTGGCACCGAGCCCAGCTCTCCCTGGTCTCGTGCACACGCAGTGGTCTGATTGTTTCCATGCTGAGAGTGCCCGTGCAGGCCACAGCTCGGGCTCAGGGACTGTGAGCCCTGCCGATGGCCCAGCCTGCAGCGGGCAGCATCAGCATTGTGGGTTTTTTTACGCTAATGAAATACAACCATATTAAACACATGAAACCTCCTACAGACACAACAGACCTTCAGATACAGGTGAATGTAGCCAACGCACAACCTCCGGTTAAATGACTGCCTTTAAACCGGTAGAAACCGTGTGGCGGAGCTATCCTGCTGGGGAACAACTCATTTTGACTGGTCTGGGGCAGTGGGGAGCTCCCCAGCAGGACCCCCTTCCTGTGTCCCGTCTGCATTGGACTCCAGCGTCCTAGGGGTCTGCCCTGGAGCTGGGCCTGGGCCGGGCACCTTTCCTGCTGCTGGTGTGTGTGGCGCTGACCGTCTGCCCTGCACCATGCCCTCTACCGGGCCGCTGCCTAGTGGCCCCTGTGCATGTGGGGGCTGACAAGGTCATGTCCCGCTGTGTCTTGCAGAGCTGCAGAAACTGGAGGGCAGCGGTGGACCTGTGCGGGCGCCTCCTTACGGCCCACGGCCAAGGCTACGGCAAGAGCGGGCTGCCCACCAGCCACACGGCGGACTCGCTGCAGGTACAGCCCCTTTGGACACCGCGCTGTGCTCTGGTTTGCCGTGTCGGGGCGGGGCCAGCGAGGGGCTGGGACCTTTTGTGACAGTAAGAACAGTCTGAAAACAGTTCCCAAGTTCACGATCTCCACACCCCGAGTTCAGTCCCCACGTGAGACGACCCAAGCCCCCCCCCCCTTTGTGCACACACAGTGTGGGCCGCACTCGTCCCTCTGCCCAGAAACCCAGCCCCCAGTCTCATGGAGCAGGTGCAGGGCTGTGCCGATCACAGGCGCCCTGCGAGATCACAGGGCGCTAGGCTGGACGGGCATGGGGGCAGGGCCTCGGAGAAAACGGGGACCCTCAGGGAGGGACGTGCGCCTCGTCGGGGTGTGCCCTCCCCAGTGTGGTACGAGGTGTTCTCGCGTGAAAGGTGCAGAAACCAGCGTGGTGAACACAGGGAAGCGGGTCTGAGAGTGAGGAGCAGCTGCCGAGGGCTTGGGTTCCCACCCCTCCCTGGGAGTGTTCAGGGAGAGTCCCCGGGCTGGTGGGGGTGCTCAGGCAGCCCGTACCGGGGTCTGCGCCCACAGTGGCTGGTGGGTAGGAGTCAGGCCACCTCCCCACCCCTGCAGCCCTGCCTGCTCACATCTGCGGTGGTCCTTCTCCTGAGTCCCGGAGCGCGTTCCCACTTGTTCAGTGAGCAGTGCTAGGTAGTCTTTGTTGGCGCAGCTGGGTCCTCCCACCACCCTGCCCCCACCCACGGAGGCCCTGCCCTGCAAGGACCACCTGCCTCTGAGCCCTCTGCTGCTGGGGACGGGGTCCGGTCGGTGCGTTTCTGAGAAGCTTCTCACCTCAGTGTTAGCGACTCCGCAGCTCGAGTTTGACTTGGAGTTTTCCTGAAGCCGCGGCTCCCACGTGGCCCTCTTCCCGCTGGGCCAGTCCCCTCTGAGCGGCCTCCTCCTGCCCAGACACCCCGACCCCGAGGCGTCCAGGCCCCGGGGCCGCCTTGCTTCCCACCCCTCGCCCTTCCCCACCCCAGCCTGTGGCCCCCTCTGGGGAGGCGGGGCTGCTTCCGGCTGCCCAGTGCACCCACTCTGCGCACGCGCCCTGCCCCGGTGTCCAGCTGGGACGGGTGGGGTGAGACCACCCTGGGCGTCTTAGACGTATGGTCGTGCAGATGAGTGAGGAGAGGCCGTCCGGCCCTTGTCCGATGGCTCTGACAGCCTCCGGTCCCGTCGTGTTTCTAGCTTTGGTTCGTGCGGCTGGCCCTGCTGGTGAAGCTGGGCCTCTTCCAGAACGCGGAGGTGGAGTTCGAGCCCTTCGGGAGCCTGGACCAGCCAGACCTCTACTACGAGTACTACCCGCACGTGTACCCGGGGCGCAGGGGTAAGCGGCGCCGCCCCCCAGCCTGGCAGCGAGCCTCGAGAGGCAGGGCCCTCGCTGCCTGTTCTCTCCACTGCACATCTGGACACGCGTGTGGCTCCTCCATGCGTGCGCACTGCGGCCGCTTCCCAGGCACCAGCCCTGAGTCAGCAGCCGGGCCTGGCGTGAGGGCTGACTCCATGCCGCCCCCGTCTGCCTGGTTCTGATCTGGGTGCAGCCCCTCCGTGGGCCTGGGCGGCAGTGTGGCGTGGTTGTTGGGGCTGCGGAAGTGAGCACTAGGGGCAGGGGTTACAAAGAGGCTTCTGGCGGCGGTGGCCTTGAGGTTCCGTGAACGTGCCCGGCAGAGCCCGTCTTGCTTTGCTCTCTAGTCAGATGCTGGGGGCCCCTCTCTCAGGTGGTCTCCCGTCCTCCGGCTCCCGGGAGCCCCTGCAGCCGCCAACCCTGTCAGGGCCTAGTTTGCTAAGGCACCCCCCTCTCCTGGTTCTTTGGGGTCACCTCTCCTGCTTGTAAGCTTCTCACCCAGCCTTTCGGCCCATCTGAGGCTCGCCCAGTGGGCAGTGAGCAGGGTTGGCCCCAGGAGGGGGAGCCGCCACCTCTGCTGGCCCTGCAGCTCTGGCTCGGCCTCTGCACTGGGAAGGTGCCCAAGGGGAGAAGGCATGGCCGGCCGAGCTGCGGGATGGGGGTGGGGGAGTGTTTCCGTTCAGTGAGTTACACCGGCAGCTCGTAATGAAGAGGGGCGTTCTCGTGCTTCCTGTACGGCACAGCCTGTCTCCCTTCGGCGAGGGAGAGTTCGCTCCCCACCCTGCTGAGTGCACCACGCATGTCCCCCCCGGCCCTGCCCCTCACCCGGGGGCGCACCGACACAGCTGGCGCAGACCCCGGGAGGGGAGCTGTCACCCCAGTGACCAGTCACACCCCAGCCGGCAGACCGTGGGAACGGCCCCGGAGCAGGGGAAGCCTGCCCCGTGTGGTTTCCCAGCCCACTGCTCTGAAGGTGGCCCATCCCCTGTGGACCCTGATTCACCGTCCTGGGCTGTGGCGCAGCCCACAGCTCAGCCACAAGCTCACACAAGTATGAGGACAGCGGTGGCACCGAGCCTCCTGTAACACACAGCAGGGACCCAGTCGTGGGGCTGGGCTCATGTCCCACCTGCCGCCCCTCCACTTGGAGGATGCTCGCCCTGAGGACGAGCCAACTAGGGCTGGGGCTGCCTGATGCACAGCGGCCCTGGGGTGCGGGCGAGGGAGTGGCTGTGCGCCTCGGAGCAGTCGGTGTACCTTATGGAACAGGCACAAGCCGACATGCATTTCACGGCAGTGTGTTCACACTCGTCCGCAATGATGGGCCACGTGCATGCCGGCTTTCCTTCTCTGCAGTGTGTTGAGCACAAGTGTGGGATTTCGATTCCCTCATTTCATTTCAGCTTGCATTGCACAAGCAAATGACTCATTACATGGGTTTTGAAAAGGAGGCTGTAGTGGTGCAAACAAATAACTTGAACGAATGAGCTTTGATGTACGTCACTGAACACTGGGTGTAGTTGACCCATTCAGAACACTCACAAGATCGGAGTGAATGGTGAGTAAGTCAGGCTCCTCTTGTGTTTGGCATCCGAGGGAACAGCAGCGCTGAGACACTCCCGGCAGCTCCCTGCTGTTGCTCCCGGCCCCAGGAGCACAGGTGTGAGCTGGCTGCGTGGGCTGCGGCAGAGCGGCCAGACCACTGGGACGGAGGGTCCCGGGCGTCTGGCGCCTGTCTCTTCTCCCTTCTGCTCCTCCCAGGCTCCACCTCTGCCCCCCTTTCGGCTCCTCCTCTCGACTCAGCCCACCCCATGCTGCTGGGTGGCGGGGCCAGGCCCTGTCCCTGGAGGTGGGCGTGGCCAGGCCAGCTGCAGTGCCTTGTCTGAGAAAGGCTGTGCTCTTCCAAAGCCAAGTTCAGATCTGTGTGTTCAGTGCCAGTTATGAGAGCTGCACTGATTTCACGGAGGTCTTGTTTCGCGACGTTACCCTTACGGGTAACCAGGGCAGACCGAAACTGACCGGACGGGCACTTTAACGGGACACTTGCTCTCCACTCTCCCTTTGACTCAGCTCCTCTGGGCGAGGAAGGGTGGCCTGTCGCTGGGCCGTGTGTCCTTCGTGCCCTCCCTCCAAAAGCGTGAAGTCACGCCTCCAAATTTGAGAACATGGCATTGACATGCGACCATAGGTGATGGGAGAAGTGACATACAGTGACGTACAGCAGGCGAATTGAAGCTCTTGTTGCAAATTCGTCTTTTCCATGCCAAACTAATGCCCTCTCAGCAGGTGTCCGGCTCAGGCTGGGTTTGCAGCTGACACTTTCCTGTGCCCAGGACTCAATGATGGGTGGTCGCTGGGTGGCTGGTCGCTGGGAGGGCGTTTTCCAGTGACAGCGTTTGGTCTTCTGCTCACTGACACGGAACGTCCCACGCACGCGGACGCTCTTCGGTTTCCGTCATTGGAACTCCAGTTCTCCTTCCTTGGGTCTCGCGTGCAGTTTGCCGGGTTTGTGTCCATCCTGTTTCTCCTGGTGCCGGTGGCGAGGGCGCGCTCTCGGGCTCGGGCTTCAGTTGTTCATTGCTGGGGGGTCGGAGGCCGGCGGACTTCGGTGTGTGGCCCTGTGAGTTCTTTGGGGCTTTCTGCATGGGTAACCCTGTGCCATCGCAAAGAGTTTCACTTACTTCTTCCCAGCCTCTGGGCGTGTCTTCGCTCCTCGCCGCCTCAGTTGGCATCCCCAGTGCGAGGCTCCCCGGCGGGAAAAGAGGGCCCTGCCGCCGTCGGGGCCTCACAGGGAGAGCGTCCGTGTCTCACCGTCCTGTGTGGGGTCTGAGTGGGGTCTGTGTGGGGTCTGTGTGGGGTCGGCTGCAGGTTTGGGCGGATGTTCTTTCGTAAGTGAGGGGAGTTGTCTTCCGTCCCAGTTTGCTGACAGTTTTTACCTTGGGCGGGGGCTGTATTTTGTCGCGTGTTCTGGGCATCTGTTGACGCTCCCTGTGGCTTTGCCTGTTTGACGGGAGGGGCTCCCTTACTGGGTTTTCAGTGTTGGACCAACCCCGCCTCCTGGAAGGAGTCCCCTGCTCATCCTCTGTAATTCATTCTGCCCCCTGGGATTCGACCTGTGCACTTGTGGAGGAGTTCCGCGTCCACGGTTGTGAGCCACACTGGTCTGTAACTTTCTTTCTCGTAGCGTCTCTGTCTGGCTTTGGTAAGAGAGTCGCTCTGGCGTCAGAATGAGTTAGGAAGCACCTTCTGCTTCCACTTCCAGAGAGAGAATTTAGAGAGCTGAGACCACTTCTCCCTTACAGGTTTGGTAAAGTTAGCCAGTGAAACCATTTGGGCCCGATGCTTGCTTGTTTGGAAGGCTTCTTAATTTACTTTTTGAAATGGACATTGGCCTGTTGAGGTCAATTTGCTTCTCGCGTGAGGCTTAGTAGATTGTACCCACCAAGAAATTGAACTTCGGCTCCTAAGTCATACGTGCACACACATGCATGCACGCACAATGCCTCAGAGTTGGTCTACAGCCGTGTCCTTGGGACCTGGGCCCCGGACCGTGCTCCCTGGGCCCCTCAGCTGCTGGCAGACCCGCCCTCAGGGCCTCCTGGGGAACCAGAGCCCAGCAGCCCCCCTGACAAGCTTGTGTCCCGGTTTCCTGCCCTGGAGGCGGGCAGCTGTGCCGCAGCAGGCGGTGTGATTGGTGTGATCGGTGGTGCAGTTGGGGCACTGCTGTGGGAGTGGCCGCCACCCACCTGCCCTCTGGTGCCCACCCAGAATGTGCGCCGTGACAGAATGACTCTGTCGCCCCTCCTGCTTGGAGCCTGCACGGGCTCCTGCCTGCATGTAGGGAGGCCTACAGCCTGCGGCCTCGAGGCCACTCTGACGGCCCTGACCTTGGTTGCAGGCTCCATGGTCCCCTTCTCCATGCGGATCCTGCACGCAGAGCTGCACCAGTACCTGGGCAGCCCCCAGGAGTCGCTGGACCGGCTGCACCGGGTGAAGGCCGTCTGCAGCAAGGTAAGGCTGCCTCTGGGCCGTGTGTCGGTCAGGGACGCAGACCAGCAGCTGGCCCACTGCCTGGCGTCGGAGTGTTTGACGCTCATGAGGGGCCTGGCACAGCTCCGGGAGACTGCTTCGCCCTGTGGAAAGCCTCCTTTTCTGAGGTCCCCTCGGCCCCTGCTGGGGTCAAGGAGGTCCCAGGACTTCGCAGAGAAGTCCGCCGAGCTGTCCCAGGCGGACCTGCTGTCACCCTTGTTTGGACTCCAGTGGGATGCGAGTGAGCGGTCATGTCTTCGGGTTGGTGCCGGCCCCCACGCTTGCTCCAGGATGCTGAATCCACCCACCCCACCCCATGACAACCTGTGACAGCTGCCAAAGGGACGGGCACACGGTTCCCTCCTCCCGACCATGGTCCCAGGCCATCGTCAGCACTGGTGTGGCCTGGAGCTGGTTAGGAGTGCAGGGCAGGGGGCGGAAGCTGCCGTTCAAAACCACAGCTTCCAGATCGTGTGTGCACCCATGTCCACCGGCTCCTGGTGTCCAGGGCAGGTGTGGCTGTCCCCATGGGCTGAGGAGGTTTGCTGGGAAGCTGGCGTGTGTGTGGCTGACCCGAGGGCCCCCATGGTGGGCGGGGCTGGGTGTAGTCTCTCAGCTCAGTCACAGCCTCTTGTCCACACGGAGCAGCCCCGTCTAGAGCCTCGTCCAGCCCCACAGCCCTGTTTGGGGCCCCCTGACTCCTGCCCATCTGTCCCCAGGCAGGGTCTGGGCACTTTGGAAACCGCTGCCGTATCAGTGCTGCCGCTGCTTTCAGGGATGGGCTCAGGCTGAGAGTCACGCCGCCCCCCTACCCCTCCCTTCTCCTCCTCTCTGCCCTCCCTGCTGGTCAGCCTGGTGGCTCAGCGGGCAGGCTGGAGCTGACTCGGGTATGGTCTGTCTGCAGGGTGGTCACCGACTTGGCTGCGCCGTGTCTGTGCTCACACTGTGGTTCCCGCTCACCCGAGCTGTTTGGTTGTGGCTGGTTTTGCTCCCAGGTCCCCCTGCCTCCCTGTGTCCTGTCCCCCAAGCCTAGTGCGTCCTGGCTGGGGTGGACCGCCAGCCACAGTGCGGCAGTCGGTGAGGCTGGCAGTGGGCCTGAGGGGCTTGTTCCTCACAAACCCGTCCTCGCACAGAGCGGGTGCTTCCTCTGGACTCTGTGGTGACAGCGCCCAGAAGCAAGACCATTCCTGGTGACCCACTCCCGTGTGACACCCCACAGGTCCTGGCGCACCTGGAGCAGGGCCTGGCCGAGGACGGCAGCGTGGGCACCCTCACGCCGGAAAACAGGCAGGGTGAGTGGGGCCCCACGGGGTCCGCCTGGCCCCTGGGGAGCTCCGGCCCTTTCTAGGCTCCTCCCTGTTGGGGGGGCCCCCCCCGCCAGTGCTTCCCCGTGACGGGTCCTGAAGAGTAGGACTGAGTGCGGCCTCACTCAGGGCACCCTGGGTGCAGGGGACCCGCCGGCACCACCGAGTCCCAGGACGGGTGACAGCAGGAGGGAGGTCCCCGCGGGCAGAGCCTCGGCGAGGCCAGTGGTGACCAGGGCTCTGTCCTGAGTGCCGGGCAGGGGGGCGGCCTGTAGGCTGAGACCCCCCACTCCCACCCTGGCTGCGGGGTCTGGAGAGCGAGAGGGGAACAAGCTTCCGATCAGCTTCCGAGCCCAGCGCAGGTGGCACCCCCGTGACAGGCCCTCACCTCCCACCCCAGCAGGGCGGCGCCTCTGCACAGGATCCCTTGTTCCCACAGCGTCTGTCCTGCTCTGTGTCCCCTCCGTGGTCTGGGCGCCGGGCTGGGAGTGGGCTCTGGTGGCCGCTGCCCGTCCCAGATTGCACTGGCAAGTGCCAGCCCTCCTGCGAAGCTTCACCCCAAGGAGAGAAATGTGGGGGGTGGGTGAGGTGGCCTGCAGAGGGGTGAGCAGCGGGGAGCGCTGCAGCAGGACGCGTTGGTCCTCGGGGGGCCGCCGACACCAGCTGGGGTTCGCTCCTTCGCTGGAGAAGTCCCGTGACCACCAGGAATGTGGGTGCGTTCTTCCCAGTAATGTGTCCCTGGTGTGTCCACAAGGGCCACCCCCAGCTCCGGTCCCTCCCCGGGCGCCGCGCTCTCACCACAGTGCCAGCCTGGTGGGAACGAGCAGAGCGTCACCACCGCTCAGTGGCATCACAGCGAAGAGCAGATCTGTCAGGCGAAGGGGCAGGGCCAGCGAGGAGGGGTCGGAAGGTCGCCGTCTGCAGTTCCTTCGTTAACAGTCCACAGCCACCTTCACTAGCAGAGGGCGTCCCCTCACCAGTCACGTCGTAAGGGGAACACGAGCAGCTAGTGTATTTGTAGTTGTGGACGGCTGGGGTCAGGCAAGTCCTGAACTCTGGCAGGAGGCGCCCCTGGTCTCGAGTATGAGCACTGCGAGAGTCAGCAGGGTCACCAGGCGGTCGTCCTCCTGACACCGACCGTGCGTCCCAACGTCAGGAGGAGGGTCCTGTAGGGAGCAGGCAGGTCCGGCAAAGGCAGCTGGCCCCGTCGTGGGCCTTCAGATACATCCAGGACATGCCCGACAGTCAGATGGTGCCCTGCTTCCTGCTGCTCAGGATTCTGAGTCAACGCCCCCCAACCCCCGCCGTGGGGCCCAGGGCCTGCTGCCCCGGGCAAGGGTACATAACTCTCCCCCACCCTGGCCAGTCCAGGCCTCAGCTCCATCATCACCAGCACGGAGGCTTGGCCTCCGCTTCACCGCCAGAGCTGACCTCCCCCTGACCACTAGCAGGCACATAGATGAGGCCGGCCGGGGCTGGGCTCGTGCCCCCACCCCAGAGCAGCTGCTGGGGGACTGTCCAGCTGGGATCAGTGGCAAGATGCTGATGACAGAGCGGGGACCGGAGAATGGGGCAGCCTGAGGCCAGGATGCAGCGGTGGGTGGCTTGGGCAGTCCGGGGAGAAAGCGGGTGGGGACAACCAGCACAGCCGAGGTGCGGGCGCGCTGTGGGGCGTCACCCTCCCGGTGCTGCCTCAGGTGTGCGGTTTGCAGGCGCCGTGACCATCCAGGCAGCACCTCCATGCTCTCTTGTCTCCAGAACCCAGGCAGAGCTCTGAGCTGGAGGGCCAGGAGACTGTCTCCACTTGAAAGGCTGGGACACAGGCCCTGCTCACGGTCCGTCAAAGGGGTAGGGGTTCTCAGGGCGCCGACGCTGGCCCTGAGGCTGGCCACTGACTGCCCTCCCGCTGCTCCTTTCCTGGCCAAGCCCTGTACAGCGCCCAGAGTGTGGCTGGCCCATGTCAGCATCTGGGCGGTGCTGGCCGGCCTGGGCACAGACTGTGTGCACTCACCGCCGCCCTCTCTTGCAGCCTCCGTGCAGCTGTGGCGGTCCCGCCTGGGCCGGGCGACCTGCTCCATGGCCAACTGCCTGCTGCTGATGAAGGTGCGTGCGCCCTGGGAAGGACGGGGCGGGGTGTGTGGGGCTCAGAGCCTTGGGGCCTGCTGCCCCGGGAAGGGCAGCGGTGTGGAGGGTTTCCGTTGCCAGATTCAACCTCGCAGACCAGGGTTGCGGCAATTAGAGCAGAGCTTTGCTCCGACTCCCCACCCTCCTCGCTCTGTCTGGGGTTTCTCTGGATTACACCCCTGGAGGGTGGCCCTTGCCCTCCCTGTGTTGGGGGGCATCAGTCCTCGTCTGGGTGGACCTGACGCAGGAAGCCTGCGCTAGCAGCCCCCGAAGGGCAGTGCTGGTCAGGTGGCAGAGGCTGAGCTCGGCGGCCAGCCCTTCGTCTCCTTGTCTCTTCTGTCCATCTCCCTCCGGCAGGCCCTCTGCAGCCCGTGCAGCCCTGCCCAGTGGGCCCCCCTTGTGGGGCACTGGCAGCAGGCAGTCTGTCACCCCTGAGAGGAAGCTGCTGGGGAATTAGGAGCACAGGTGGGGGGTGCCCCCCGTGTTGCCCCAAGGTCTGCCCCAAGCTGGGTTTTCCCCCAGCAGAGCAGGCAGGCAGGCTTCCGGGTGCAGTGGGTGGCGCACCTGCAGGGCTCTGCTTGACCCTGACACAGTAGCCCTGCTGTCCATACGTGGTCCCCTCCTGACCTGATGGGGACCGCACTGGGCACAGGGAGGGGTTGGGCACAGGGCCACACACAGAGCCTCAGGGCTCAGCCTGTTTGGTCACAGAGAGGTGTGGCCGGGACCCGCTGCCTGGGGCCAGCACTGGGCCGTCCCCACACGGCTGGTGTGCGCGGCACTGGGGTGCCCCTCGGTCTTTGGGGTGCCCCAGCTCGCATCCTCAGCAGCCCCTCAGCACAGTGGGCGGGGTGGGGGCGAGGCTCTGCGTCCTCAGAGCGCCACCCACCCTCTCCTCACCTGAGAGGCTGCAGTGCCAGGCCCTTAACTGCGGCCTGGAGCCGTGTCTTTCCTGCTTGGTTCCAGGGCAGGCCAGCCTCTGTCCCCCTGAGAGCTGGGGCTCAGGTCTCTGGCTGTGCGGGTGGGCAGACAAGGCAGGCGCTCACTGGGGACACCAGTGGCTGTCACTGGGTCCAGGGCTCACCGCCAGCTCCCGCGTCAGGGGTCCTCTCGTCCCAGGAAGCCTGCGGGTGCCTGGGCAGAGTGACCTTGTTGCTGACGTCTCCGGCTGCTCTCCCCAGGACTACGTGCTGGCAGTGGACGCGTACCGCTCGGTCATCCAGTTCCACCCCGAGCAGGAGCCACAGCTGCTCAGCGGCATCGGCCGCATCTTCCTGCAGGTGGGTGCTGCACCGTGCAGGCACCACGGGCAGGCGGTGAGCGGCCAGGACGCTGCAGCAGCAGTTGGTGGAACTGAGGAGTGGGTCTCTCGAGACGGGGAGCTCAGTCCGGACCAGGTGGACCGGGCGGGAGGGTCAAGGTCCCGGTGCGCGGAGCTGCTGGGGCAGGGGCCTGCCCAGACCTTCTGGGGAGGAGGGCGGTGCGTGTCTGCCACAACCACGCTCACGGCACTGTCCACGGAGGGCGGGCTCGCCGGTCGGAGCCTCGGGGCCGTGTCTGAGGTCCCAGCACTCTGCATGGAGCTGGGTCCCCCCATGTCCGAAGTGGCTCTGCAGTTTTTACGAGAAGTCGCAGTAACTAGAGGGTCACGACGCCTGCCCTGCCTGATGCGTGAACGTCTCCATGATGCGATGTTGGGGAGCTGTGTGTGAGGGTGTGGGTGCGTCACCTGAGCTGACCAAACACCCCTGTCAAAGCAGATCGGGGACATAAAAACGGCGGAGAAGTGCTTCCGGGAGGTGGAGAAGGTGGTGCAGAAGCGAGACGGACCTCAGGGGGAGACGGTGGTGCTGATGAACAGGTGCGCCTTCTCAGCGGGAGGTCTGCTCCCGTGTCCACGTCCCGGCACCGGGGCGCCGGGGCCCAGACCCGAGCTGGCGGGCTGTTTCCTGAATCTCAGGGACGTCCCTTTGGCCACACACGTGTGCTCAGAGACCTTCCCTGGTCGTCCAGAGGACTCAGTTGGCCGTTCCCAGCACCCGCTTGCCTCAGAGTGGCTCTCTGAGTGTCCTCACTCCCTCTGCTCCGTTCTGGGCGTGGCCTGTGTGGGACTGCTCGTGGTGGCGAGGCGCAGGGCGCATCCACCGAGACATAGCCGCACCCGGGGACACCCGCTCAGGAGCAGACAGGGAGGCTGGGCAGGGGCCATGGTCGGGCAGGAAGGAGTTGTTCATGCCATCCTGCCGCCTGAGTTGTTAAAGGCAAAACAGCTTCAATTTCTACCCAAAGTGCCCACCGGGGTCCAGGCGACAGCCCCCTCGCCGTCCATGTGGCAGGCACAAGCCCCGCCTGCTTGGGGTGATACAGGAAAGCGGCCTGCCTGACTCTGGGGTGCACACCAGCGTCCTGGCCTCAGCTGATGGACACTGCACTTGTCGCTTATGTTCCAGAGCTTTCTTGCACCTCGGTCAGAATAACTTTGCAGAAGCCCACAGATTCTTCACAGAAATTTTGAGGATTGACCCCACAAATGCCGTGGTAAGGCGCTCTGAGTGGTAGGTCTCCCACCGGCAGCCTTGTCGGCCCCTGGCCCTGGGTGGTGGCCGGGGTCGGGGGAGGCCCCTCCTCGAATGCCCCCCAGGCACACGGAGCGGCGCTCGGGGCCTGACGGGCGTCCCCCGCCCCCAGGCCACCAACAACGCGGCCGTGTGCCTGCTCTACCTGGGCCGACTCAAGGACTCGCTGCGGCGGCTGGAGGCCATGGTGCAGCGCGACCCCGGGCGCTGCCTGCACGAGAGCGTGCTCTTCAACTTGAGCACCATGTACGAGCTGGAGTCCTCCCGCAGCTCGCAGAAGAAGCAGGCCCTGCTCGAGGCCGTCGCCGGCAGAGAGGGCGACAGCTTCAACACGCAGTGCCTCAAGCTGGCCTAGGCTGGGCGTGTTTGGGGAGCTGGTCTCCCAGTGGGGGAGCTGGTCCCAGCGGGGACCTTGCACTGGGAGCCAGGGGCGTGTGTCCTTAGTCCAGAGTCGCGCCCACTGGGCAGAGTGTCGACACAGCCAGCTTGACCCGCGGCTCTGTGCCGCCGTGAACGTGGGCCCGATGTGCCGTCTGGACGGCGGCCACAGACGGGTCCCTGCGGTTTGTCCCCGGGAGCCGGCCTGCGTTCTCCGTCGTTTCTGAGTACCCCGGAGAGAAGCGGCAAACGCAGCCCACACATCCTCGCCCAGTGCCTGCGCGTCCAGGGCACCTGGAGGGGGCAGACACCAGTGCAGCGAGACTCACTTCTCTTCCTCTCCTTGCCCTTCCCCTCCCCCAGGCCAAACACATCTGTGTTGCTTCTGACACCCATTCAGCTCGTGCTGAACCCCTTGGGTGAACCTCGTGACAGGGACAGACTTTGTTACGTGACAGGGAGGTGTGGTGTGCGGGGCGAATCCATTGGACGGGAATCCAGGTCTGCACATCACTGCTCTAGGCAGGCGGCCGGAAGGGCTTCTGCTTCCCACCCAGATGCCGTTCCTGCTCTCTGAGCCTTCAGGGGCGCCACTCATTCCACAGACCGACGCAGGCGTGCGTACCACTGAGCGCGGCCGTGTTCTGTCCCCATTTGTGAGAGAGCAGACCTCAGCGCGTGGCTGGGGAGGAAAGGAAGAGACGGCGAGAGGGCTGCTGGAGTTCTAGTCTTTCTCTCTGAGGAGAGGGGACAGTCCCGGCTGATGGGTGTCGTCCCCAGAGCGGCAGGTCCCAGGTCCCTGGTCAGGGCACGGGTGTGGGCTTGGTCCCCGGGCGGGGTGAGCACGGACGGCAGCCAGTGGTGGTTTCCTCTCACACTGATGTTTCTCTCCCTCTGTCCCTTCCTTCCCTCTCTAAAATAAAAAGTAAAGTTAGAGAGAAATATAAAAATCCTTTGTTTCAAAAGCCCCCAAATCTGACGTCATTTGATTCCCTCCACTGAGAGGGTTGCCTCCAGAGCTGGCTTCGGCAGGCCAGAGGAGACTCGGCCTGCGGCTGGAACCTGGCCACGGGCCACGGAGCTGTCCCATGGCCAGGGACCCATGTTCCGGTTGAGGATGGCCCCGGGTCGGTTGTACAGAACAGCAGGTGACGCCGGACCGGCTGCCACTGGAGCAGAGCCTGGCGCCCCGGGATGGGGACCTGCCTCCGGTGCCCCTGCCACCTGAGCTTCCTGGCAGCAGCTCCTCCACATCGGGGCTCTGTCACTTGCAGTGAACGGCCCCAGCGGAGATGAGAGAAGAAACCACGTCCTGAGCTTTGGGACGCAGGGACTCCAGACTCGGGGGCAGGACGCCATGAAAACCAAGAGGCAGGAGCCCACCGCCATGCACCTGCCCGAGCACACCTGGGGTGGCAAGGACCTTCCCGCCCACTCGAGGGCTGCCCTGTGGGGCCTGTGGGAGAGCTTGAGTCTTAGGGAGCCTGCGGCCTGGGGACAGAACACCCCCCAGGCTCCGCCCACTGGGTGCTGCTCCCACACACACGGCCCGCAGCCCTGTCCTCAGCCTGTTTCCGTGCAGGCAGGCCCGGTTCCACTCACTCCACTTCTCGCCTCGGGCCCTGGCAGCACCTCTGGGTGCACAGGCCACCACTGTGAAGGGTTTCCCTCGAGCTGCCTGCTGTGGGCGCTGTGCAACAGGACCGCTCCGAAAATGCGCGACCCAGACCAACGATTTACGGTGACTTACGTCAGTGGTGTGCTGTGGCCTGTGGTTTCCGAGGCAGGAGCCTGGGCGTGGTCGGCGGGGTGCTGCTGGACCCTCGGGAGGGGGTCCCGGGGCCCAAGGAGCTGCTCCCCTCACGAGGCAGCTGGCCTCCCTGAAAGGGACCCCAGGAAGCAGCAGGGGACCAGCACCTTCTGACCTGGTGGGAGCCGCCACATCTCACCTGGGAGAAACAAGTCACCAAGTCCCGCCCACACCCAAGTCCTGCCGAGGGAGAACTGGGCTCCATCTTTTGGGAATATTGTCCAAGAATTTATAGACATATTTTAAAATCAATTTTTAAAAATCTTCCTTCACATTTCGTTGGAACTGGGGCAATGGAGCAGACCAAGTATTCTGACACCCACACGTGCACACCCTAAAATTCAGAGTTCCCCCGAGATTTCTGAGGCGTGAGCTTCTGCACAACAGGCAAGGGTTCCCAAGACCAGTGTTGGCGCTTGGAAGATAAATTTAGCATGAAGATTTTTTATTTCAGTTTTAAAAGTACATAAAACAATCTGCCCTTAAAAATGTGATGTTGATTTTAGTTTTTTAAATGATTATAACAAATTAGGCATAATTGTATCATAACTATTGAATAAAAAATTAATGTACCATTTTCTTGTTAAAATTCAAAAGCCTGATTGTAACAGAATATACATCTGGGAGTTTACCCTAGAAATCTCACACTAAACAAAGTAGCACATATGAATTATGGCAGATTTGATCACACAAAGAACCTGCCTGGGGTGATCTGAATGAGCCACGTGTACCTGAATTTAAGGTGGCTTCAAGGCACAAGCACAGAATTAAGGCAGCTACTTAAAGTGATGTGAGCAACTGCAACACCCCTTCGTGTGAGAGCTCGCCCTGCCCCCACCCACCGCTCCGGGAGGGGAGTGCCTGTTACGGCAGGTCCTGGCATCTGCTCACGCTGCTCACAGGCAGGCGTGGCCTTGACTGCCATCTGCTGAAAGACACGGAGTTGGGTCCCACGGGGCGGCTAGGCGGTGGTGTGTGGGGACAGGAGACTCATGGGGGTTCACGTGGAACCGTGTGCAGTGCCGGGTGACAGTTACAGAAAAGGGGGCTGTCCATGTTCCCAGTGGCTTTGACGTAAGTCTGTTTTGTGGCTCTTTGCACTAAAACATATTTTGATCAAATAATTTCTCCAAGGGAAGCTCTCCCAGCCTCTGACCCACGCCACAGACGCGAGGATGACACTGGACCATCTGCCATCGTCCTGTGCAGGGCCCGGCGCCGGGGGCATGCGCCACTACGCCATCCGCGCCAGCAGCGCCATGTACTGCTCCCGGGCCGCAAAGTGGTCAGCCGGTCGGTTGTACGCCGTCCACACCGGGTCGCCCACAAAGAGCCGCATGGCCTTCACGTAGTTCTGGAAAACAAGCGCAGCCAGCACCACGTTAGTTACCCCGGCGTCGAGATAACGGTCCTCACTGCATCGGGGTCTCCCATCTCAGCACACCGGTCACACTGTCCTCCGAGCGTCCGTGCGCGGAGGGACCTCAGGCCACGCACGGTCCCCACCTGCTCGTCCAGCGTGAAGCGGTGATAGATGCCCGCAGGGAGGGTGATCATGTCTCCTTTCTGCATGGCGATCCGGATCCAGCGGTCCTCCCGATCCCTCACATCGAAGTACCCGCTGCCGTCCAAGATGTAGCGGATCTCGTCGTCCAGGTGCAGGTGCTCCTCGTAGAACATTTTGATCTAGAGCAGGGAGTGGGCACTGAGTCGAGTGCAGGCCCAGCAGGGGGCGCACACGTCAACCTTACACCCCGGACGGAGGTGGGCCGAGACTCCCCCATAAAAATCATGCAGCGGAACAGGGAGAAGGGGGCGGGGGCCAGAACAGTTTATGAAACCAATCAACCACCCACAGCAAGAGAATTAATGGCAACATGGCCCTTAGCAGGTGACAGGCCAAGTTCTACACATGCACAAGGCCTCCCTGGGGTGCTGGCTGTGGTCCCCACTGGACGGTGAGGAAATGGGGCACGGCCGGGGCAACACACAGCCACACGGCTCACAGGTGCAGAGCTCGACTCCCAGACACACCCTGGCTCCTGCTCACCACCCAGCACAGAGCACATGCACAGTCACGTGACCACACTGGGCGGTCAGACGCCCATGAAAGTCTGAGGCAGGCAGTCACATCTTAAGAAACAGAATTTCCATCTGTTCGACTCTACTACATTTGTGTTTTTCCCCTGACATAACAAAATCACGCAAGCGTGCACTCCTCTGCGACGGAACCCAACGGGCACATTAAAGAAACCCACGTATCAGGAGGGGCTGCAACGACTCCCCTTTGGCCCAGTGAGTGTCACCTTTTCTTCGTAATCCGGCAGCTTCTCTTTGCAGATGGTTATGATGTCCATCCACGAGTAGTTTCTCTCTCTCCGGATCTTTTCTAGTTCCGGATCGTCCTCATATCTGTCCGCATCCAGCTGGAAGAGTGCAAACAGCAGAAAGGAGAGCACGTGAATGCGAGGAGACGCATGGCCCTTCTCTCCCCAGACGTCCCGCTCGCTCGCTCGCTGTCACTCCTAACCCACCTCCCTTCCCAGCCTCCCCGGGTCTTTGAAGGCTTTCCCATTCTCCCTACCAGCTAAAAGTAACGCAGCTGTGTTCAGGTCCCACTTCCTGGCTCCTCCTCACACTCCTGCCGCCCCACCCCGCCCCCACCCGCTCCTGGCCTCCAGCCTGTGCACAGCCAGGCCTCCCTTGGCCCCTCCCCCAGCTTCCACCCCGAAGTCCCGCTGAGCTCCTGTGGCCTTTGCTGCCCCTCGGTTTTCCTGGGATCAACATGTCTGCATCCTGAGAGCCTGCAGGTGAAGCCCAAGTTCATCAGGCTGGGTGGGGGCCTGCTGTCATCTGGTCCCACAGGTGTCCTTTCTTCCGAACTCTGCCCCTATTCCCTACTATTCTTTTTTAATCTACACTGTAAACCAAACAGGAGAATTTGCTACTCTTCAAACATTCTTGATGGGTCGCCTCCCCCACACCCTTGCTCCTGATAGCTTCCAACACCTAAGACTTTTGCTACACCGGGCTTTTGCCACAGCCAGTGGCTCTTAAGGTCCTGTATCAATGTCACCTGTATAAAGTCCCTCCCCCAGGCAGCAGCTGGCCAGAACCGGTCTGAACACCTGATGAAAACTACTGGCAGTGAATTTAGCACGTTTTGCTGTGAACTGCTATAAAATGTACACGGTATCACGAGTACTAAACAACAGACTCCAGAATATCTCAAACTACTAGTCGTGAACACTTTAACCTCTGCAAAGATCACTCCAAAAGTGAGCAGATCCGCCACAGCGATGCACACTACCTACCGCTCGGCTCTACAGCGGTCTAACGTGAAACTGCGTGTGAGAGACACAGACCGCTTTCTCCTGCGCCCCGGGCCACTCGGAGCGGGTGAGCACTGTGCTCCGCTGCTCCCCCGACCAAGACCTCAGACCATGTCAGTCGCCCAGGCGGCCTCTGCCCTGGTCACGGGAAGGAGAAGGCAGAGCCTGGGTTTGGCCCTTGGGTAACTGGAGGGCCCTCCAGGCGCGTCTCCGGCCCTTCGCGGTTAGCTGGAGGGAGACAGTACCTCCCAGGCACCAGGGCACAGCCGAGGGCAGCCGGGGTCCTTCTGAACGCTCGCACTGTGGGTGTCTTCACTTTATTCTCAAACAAAACTTGTTTTCCTGCCGTAACAGACACTGCAAGCCCTTTCATTACTCAGAAGTGTTCTATCTCATCCCAGAGAGAGACACACCAGGGAAAGATAAATTAACACACACAGCAGACACACAGACTGAATCCCATGCTGGGCCCCCCAGGATCTGTGCTGGGAACTACGCTGAGAGCGCAGACTTCGCAGCAGCGGGGCCGCCCCGGCCCGCACCCTTTGCCGCCGGCCCTCAACTCGGCCTGCCCGGTGTCACCCCGGTTCATCATATCGCGCGACGAGTCCCACTGGGAACCAGCCTGGACCTGGGAGAGCCAAGGCGAGGCCCAGAGCGGGGCGCCAGCTGCTACTGAGCTTGTGCAGTGCTCCCAGGCCGCCCACCACCCATCCCCGCTGTTAAACGTGCGCAGCGCGGCCCCGCCCCTTCCCGACCCGACTGCCGTTCCGCACGCAGGGGAGCAGTTGGTGGGAGGGGAGTCAGTGCGCCGGCTCAGGGAGACCTGAAGGGCCACCTCGCCCGTCCGCCCCGCGTGCTCGCATACCTTCCAGTAGAGGACCCCGAGCTGGCGCAGTTGCTCCAGGCCGACCGGGCGGGCGGGCTCGGCGCGGTGGGGCAGGCGGGGGTCATCGCTGGAGTCGTCCATGTACCAGGCTTGCACCATGGTAACAGTGGCAGCGGGCGGGCGACACAGCTTCACTTTGGCCTGAGCTCCGGCGGGTGGGTCCTGCGTCCTAGGGACGCTTGCGGCGGGGCGGGGCCGGCGGAGGCTGAGCCGCCAGTCGGGGGATAGGCGCCTGACACACGGTAGAGGTCGCCCCACTCCAGGCGGCGCGCGCACCTCATGGCGGCTGCAGTCCCCGGACTGAGATGGAACAACTGATCGTTGACCGCAGGGACTGCAGAGACTAAAATAGGTGGTTTTGCTAAATCCGTGCGGCCAAGTGGTCACCGGGGCACCCGGGTATTCCTCCATGGCCACTCCAACGGTTTCTGCAATACTACCCTGTAGTTTTAAGTACAACGCATCCTAGGGAAAAAAAAAAACACACAAAACACACCCTGGCGGGTGGCTCAGTGAGTGAAACATCCTCCCCATACACCAAGGATCCCCTCCCTGGTCAGGGTGCACACAGGAACCCACCAATGGTTCCTCATTGCATCACTGAAAATGCGTCGGGAATGAATGCGTCAGTCAGTACAGCAACAAATTGGCAAGAAAGCGGGCCACTTAACTAAACCCGGCAAGTTCAGGGGAGGCCTGCACCGGCCTTACACGCTCAGAGACCTAAGTAACCACACAGCGTGGTCTAAAGGCTGGTCACGGTGGGTCCTGTGGTGCTCGGGCGCCGTTTTCCCCTGACAAAAGTCACTTAACTGAGCCTGTCCTCTCTGCCTCCGAGGTAACATACCTGTGGGATACCAAAATAATTTCCTTTTCCAACCCCCCAAAGCACAACCACCACACCAGAGCCGGGACCACAAGTGCCCCGTCACTGTCATCGTGCTAATTGTTGACTGTCACCTGCCCTGCATTCACCTGTGTAAAAGGTGTGTGTCTGTCGTTTTACTTTTTATCCCATCCCACAGGTTTCCCCGTTTGGCCTTCTGCCCCCCCAGTCAGTCCGTCACCAGTAGGCGTCATGGGACCCCTCACGTGTTCCCCGTTGAGTCTGTTGTTTAGAACGGGTGGTAAATTGCCGTTTTCTCAGCCCCTTAAGAGTTTGCTTCCCAGCAGTTGTCAGTTCAGCTCAAGTAAACTGACAGAATTCTCACCGGTTTAGACATTTCTCACGTTGACAAATCAGTGGGGTTCTCTCTCTCCCCCCTGCCCACTCTAAAACCAATGATAAAAACAAAAATTCCCCTCCCCAATCTTCATATTTCTTGCCAACTTAGCTGATGAGAAAAGGAAATCCAGCTGCTGGATCTGCATAGCTTTAGCTTTTCAAAGCAATCAGCCAAACAAGATCCGGCTGTCCCAGCCACTCGCCCCAGGGGGTCAAGTCACGGAGCACCCACGGGGGTTCAAGCCAGGCCGCTCTAAGGCAGCCCATTTCCAAAGTGCTCCCTCCGTGGGAGCCTGATCTGCAGACCCGCGTCAGGGCGACCCCAGCCTGGGACACCTCTGGAAAACGCTGAAGGGAGAAAGGGTCTGACCAATGGGAGGCCTCGGCAGGAGCAAGTGACTGCCCCGGAGGGCCTGGTGGAGAAGCGCCATTCCCGGGGCACATCACAAAAAAGAGCCACCCAGAGAGCTGGCCGTGAGACTCAGGGTCCAGCTGCAAACAAACACGGCGGGACCCGGGGTGAACCCACAGGGCTGCCCCACACCCCGAGTCCGGGACACCCGGCACGTTCACAAAAGGCACAGATGACTAGAGACCACCAGCACAGTGACGCTCGGTGCAGAGATACACAGTCCTGAAACTGTTCTTCTTCCGTATATTTGAGAAATTCCAACAATTCTTACAAAAAGTGATGGTATTTTGAGTTAAGAAATAAGCCGTCTGTGCATGTGAATATTCTGAACTGGAGAAAGGGGGCGCCACCCCGAAACAGCTTCCCCGGGGGCCACAGTGGCAGCATTTTGCTGGAGCTACTTAGGAGGAGAAGGCTTCCCTGGTCTGACGTGTCTGAGACGAGGCCGCGGACCTCCGTGGGACTCCGGGCTTTTCTGGGCAGACGCCGGCTCGCGTGCAGCCTTTTCCGTGAGTTACCCCAAACCCTCGTGCGTCCCAGATGGAGATAAAACCTAACGTTCGCTGCGGCGTGAGGTCCCTCACTGTTGCTTTGTTGTCATCCTGCCTCAAGACACTGGTTCCGAGAAATCATCTCCCCGGATGCGCTCCTGGTCACATAGGTTGAGAGAGAGCATTTGAGAGCATTTGCGAGTTTGAGGTCAAAAACTTTTCTCTCCTCTGACAAATGGTGAGGCCTGCAACGAGGAAGTTGTTTAATGGGGACAGATGAGACACTTTGAGGCAGACATGAGTTCCAAATGTACCCACAGAACCTCCTTTCAAAAACACTGGGACAAGTTCAGGAATCAGAGGTGAGACCAAGGGGCTGAAGTGGTGACCAGACCAGTGAGCTGCTGTGGCCACAGCAGGGAACGCCCACCAGTGCTAGCCCACCGCCCAGGTGCCGGCGGGGCGCAGCCTGCCCCTCGAGCCCACCGCTGCCATTGGAACTGTCCTGCGTGGCAGGACAGTGGTCACGGCTGAGACCTCATACCAAACTTTGGGAAACAGTGTAAGATTTGCTCAAGATTTCCCGGGGCGTAAACAGGAAGCTCGTCTTCAAAGTAAAGTAAGTGCGGCTTTCTCTGTGTGTCCAAACTGGTTTTGTGGGCTGCTCGGGGCTTTGGGAGGCAGGTCCTGGGGGGAGAAGCAGGAACACGAGCGCCAAGCTACTGGAAACCTGAAGCAGGCCCCGGGACCGAGTCTTCCCAGTGGCAGCACCCACAGGAGTGTGTACATACAGGCATTGAAATCTGAACCCCAAAAGTTTTCCAGAAAGCAGACCTCAGGGAGGCAGAGCACACTCGTACCAACAGGACACAGGCCACTGGTGCAGCCCCCGCAGGGAAGGCCCAGGACTCCAGCTGTCCAGAGTCCGCCTTCAGGGGCCGGGCAGGGGGAGGGGGTCTCATCTCCATCCCTTCCCCGCCGCCGAGGGCCAGCACCTGGCTTCTGCTCCCTCAGACCTTCCTAGGGTGCCTGCTCTGGGCACCCAGTGGTGAGCAAGTGGGGGGGACAGTCTCCACCTTCAGAGGCTGAATCCCCCCGGGGAGGCAGACAAAACCGTGGAGGTCTGAAGGCAGAGAGTGCTGGGTTGGTTTGCTGGAGCAGTGCAGGTGAAGGAGTAAGGAGGGACAGGAGGGGACAGAGGTGGGGGGGGCGGGAGCCAGAATCATGCGTGCAGGTGCAGCCAGCAAGGCTGGATGCTGATGTTTGGGGGGATGTGGGAAGGAGGGGAGGGAGGGAACACCCCTACGGGCAGGGGGGCCAGGCAGCGCGAACAGCAAGAACAGGGCCTGAGGTGGGGGTCCAGGAGCTGGGGGCCCATGGGCACGTGCCAGAGGCTGTGAGCTAGGACCTTGTGTAGCTGTGGTGGGACGATCAGGTCCCAGGTCCTCTGTGCACGGTGGTCACCACTCACACACGTTACAGAAATACACAGGTTGGCATCCAAGGACGGCAGGAGCCGACCGTCACCTCAGCACCAACTGGCCTTTCCTCTGTGAACAGACGCTGGGAGCCCACAGCGGCACAGGCACCTCTGTGACCACTCCAGCAGGGCAGGCAGGCAGGCTGGCCAAGTGTCACCACTCTGACACCCCAACTCACGAATGGACTGAAGCAGCAGGCACCGGCGGCTGCCAGCATCCCACCGAAGGCACGGAACCTGGCTCAGGACAGGCCTCGGTGCAGCCGCCACCCTGCAGGGAACGTGGAACGGGGGCAGTGCTGTGAGCACACGGACAGTGAGACCTGGGCCGCAGGACCTGGAGGACAGACAGCTCTGGGGCCACACCAAACTGCACAAGTTCACCCCGGGGGAACACAAGAACGAGACTCGTGTGGGGAGCCTCGGGGCTCTGGCAAAGCTGCCTCTGGACCTGGGGGCGGTCACAAGGGCGTCCACCTTGTAGTGACAACTCAATAAGCCATCCGTTTACTGTCATTTTCCATATGTTTCTGATGTAAAGGGTAATAAAGACACAAATCAATGATCACGTCTGACATTTTTCAAGCTCGCGTGGAGCTTCTAACAAAAACAGCCAAGGACAAGTTTGAAGGATTTATTGGTACATACTGGTAAGTGGGACTGACCCTACAGGCCAGTCAGGCACCGGGGCCGCGTGCGAGCATGTCCGCCCAGCGCCCAGCCCGGTGAGGCCCAGCCCCTCCTTCCAGGCCAAGCCCCAAGTCCTGGGACTTGGTCCTGCCAAGTGGCGGGGAGATGAACCTTCCAGACACACCCAGGGTTGTCTGCACGGCTTAACCAGCCTTTTATCAGCACATCCTTAGTGCACGAAGCCGAAAGTTCCCGTGCCGACTACGACGAAACAAATGAGAACCGCAGCAAGCCCGGAACAGCACAATGCTGAAATGCTGAACACGTCTTAGGTCTCCGAGGACACTGAGTCCACAGCACGCTGAAGCAGCTTTTCCACATGGAGTCCTGGGACCCAGTTGCCTTTCCGAGTCCACGCGGCAGGGGCCCCATCGCCCACACTCCACTTCTCACAGGGGCCACGGCACAGCCACCGGCTCCAGGTCTCCGGGCGCAGCCAGGACTCCGCTCAGACTTCAGGCTGCCTGGCTCCTTCCTTCGCTAGTCTGTCCGCTTCTTCATTGCCCACCAATCCCGAGTGACCGGGAACATGCATCTGTCAAAGAGAGCTTTCCTTTCACTTTTGCTCCTTCCTGGTGAGGAATTCGACCTCGGGGGCGGGTGGAGCAGAAGGCAGCTCCCCAGCCCTGACCGGGCCCCAAAACCCTGAAGGGCACGGGACCGCCCCCGAGGCACCGTGTCCAGGCCACGTGCTGGCCAGCTCCGCTCCGATTCCGCACAGCCTGGCTCTTACTGCTTTCCAGGCAGAGCACCTGCACGGCACACACACCCACTCCCTGCACATGCCGCGTGCAGGGGCTGCGCCTGGGGCTGGGAGCAGGCTGTCGGGGGGCCTGGCCGGCAGGGCAGGGTGGGGAGGGAAACTTCCATTAGGGAAAAAGTCACGTGACTAGGGTGCTGCTCACACAACCTCACCTTCAGGAAACCACTTTCCACATCAGCTTCATCTAACGCGGTGGCTGCCTGTTCCCCGCGCTTCACCGTGAAGCGGCACCACTCACGAGACGGAAGGACACACAGGGCAGCACGTGTTCAGGGAACCTGTCCCTTAAACTTGCATCACCGAGCCACTCACAGAAGCATCGCCTCTCAGGGTGGCTGAGACTTCGGTCCTAAGGGCCACAAGACAGGGCCCCTGAGGGGATACTCACCCACCGAATGTCCATGTCCTGGACGAGCCTGTCCAGCTCCACGAAGTCCTCCCTGTTGATCACCTCCTTCCCGGCGCTCGTCCTCCACCCGTTTTCCTTCCAGCCCTGCAGCCAGTGAGTGATGCCTGGAAGCCACGCCCCCTGGCTGTGAGTCTCAGGTGTGCGGCAGTTTTCCTCCCCAGACCTCCCCTCTCACCCCCACCTGTGTTCCGAGCAGCACTCTGGACTTTTCACTTCCTTCCCTGGGCCGTGCGCGGGCCTCTGGCAGACCCGAAACCCTTCCCTTCTCCTTCCTTCACCCTAATTGTACTCGACCTGCAGCTCTCAACCCAGGACGACCCCTCTGCCAGGAAGCCTTCCCCCGCCTTCAGCAGCACCTCCCTGTGATCCTACACACGGCACTTCCCACAGAGGCCACCGGCACACCACCCCCAGTCACCCACACAGGCTAAGACTCCAAGTGCCACGTGTTGGATGCCTGGCAAAGCAACCCCTACCTGTGTGGCAGACGCTGGCCCGGGGGACCTGGGTCCAGATCGGCACGTCCGCCTTCCTCCTGGCAGGCGGGATGCGGGTCCCGCCCTGACATGTAGCCACTACGGGAAGGGGGTCCCTGTTTCCCGGCAGGTTTACTGGGGAAGCACTGGAGGAGGCAGGAGGGGAGCACTCACCGTTGATGGTGAACATGCTGTCCGTGTACAGGGCCAGCTTGTGGATGTTCTGAGCCTTCGCCTGCTCGATGGCTCTGCAGGCCGCCTGGGAGAGAAGGTCGGGCGTCAGGCTGCAGAGCGCCCAGCGCCCACACGGCTGGTGTTCAGTTACGTCAAGACGGAAGCCGTCCCTCTTTTCCTGTGCTGACTGTAATGTCCGTATTCTCCACGTGAAATAATGCTACGTGTAACACTAAGTTCTGTTGAGACACCCCTTCGAAGTGTCCCACAAGTTTTCTAGCAAGCTCCGACCCTTCCCGCTTGCTGCTGGCCCCACACCTGGTCTCTGCTGGACTCTGAGTATCTCACACACAGACGGTAAAAGGCCGTCGGCGTGTTCAGGTCGAGGCTAAAAACGAGAACCGCGACTGGTAACTTACATGAATTTCCGCTCGTTGGTTGGTTTGTCGTCCAGGAAGTCTAATGCTTACATTTCTGGTTTCAAAACAGAAGAGAATAAAATTGTAACTGGTTAATACATATGATTGTTTGAAATATAAAAGCACCACAGAGACTGCCCTCAGAATCAAACAAGCGACATTAACATTTGACTGAAAACGCTGTGTGTGCTGGTGGGGAAGGAGAACTGAACCAAGGTCAAAGACAAATGTCATTCTGGGCTAAGCCTGTGAGCCTGGGGCCTGGGCTGGCACCAAACCTGCCACGCTCAGTGCACACAAGTTCACCAGCATGCACAGGGCTCAGAGCTGAAACATGACCAAAGTAAAGGCACTGTGCAGACAGCACAGCTCGAAAGAAGCACCGAGTGGAACTGCTAAGGGGCAGCTCCCATTGAACGTGCCCCACATGGCTGCCGGCCAGACACCGGGACACTGCCCGAGCAGCGTGAGGCTGCCTCCCAGGGGCCGGGCCCCGTCCCCCTCCTCCCCTGCACTGGAGGCTGCGCGTCCCGGGCCACACACCCTGACCGGGCCTCTTCAGGAGAGTCATGGTGATAGGGTGGGTTCCAAGTCCTGTGACCTGTCCCTCTGCACCCTGCCAAAGCCACTTCCCTGGGACACCGGGCCTCTCATACGGTGGCACTGAGGTCATTTTGGTGTGAAATCTCACCAGCAAGACTCAGAAGTTGCCCACTGAGAGCAACACTGCCCGCCCCCGCACAGAGCTGTTCATCAAACAGCAAGCAGGGCCTGCCCGGTTTGTCCGGAGTTCAGAACGCGGCCTGGTGACAGGGAACACCCTCCGCAGCCCTGTTCACTCACAGCGGGTGGCCGGGCCCCCAGTAAACGCCGATCCCTGCGCGCGCCCTCCTCCGCCCGTTCCTGGAGCAGCAGCCATCCGTGTAGACGATGACATGTTCTCCTGTAGGACGGATGAACAGACGAACGAATGGACGCTCAGTGAGTGCCGCTGGCCCAACGCCACCGAACCTGAAGTTCACCTAGCATCTACTGTAATGGAGTGAGCACGTCAGACTCAGAGGGTCTCCAGGGATCTCCTGTCTAAAAAACATGACCACTTCCCGACACGGGGGCACCCGACACCTGCCTGGACTGCACTCATGTTTGGGGCCCACCCACCAGGCACACTGAGACGTCACTTGGAAAACCCAGGGCCCGCTGCTGTGGCAGGTGCTGCTCACGCCCCGCTGCAGGATCACAGAGCCACATCACTGTCCCTCTCCTTGGGGGCAGGGGTCTCCTTCACTCGAAGGAGCTCTCCTCCCAGACAAGCAGTGCCTCCGCCTGACGGGACCTGCCTGCCACAAGGCCCTCTGACAACCGCTGCTGTTTGTTTTTCTCAGTGTACTCGCTGCCAGGAAGCTGGGCTCCGCCTGGCTTTCTTCCGCGACAGAGGGTATGACCGACACACCAGCGCTGCAAAGGGCGAGGTGGACAGGACTCACAGGAGGCCACCCTCTGCCCCCGCCGACAGCAGGACCTTCGGCAGGGTGGCTGGAGAGGTCAGGAGCGGGGGCTTGGGGGCAAAATGCGTGCTCACGAGGCTTCCTCTGTCCCAGGAGGTTGGGGGGGCAGGACTGGGTGCCGCCGACCGGCCAGCCTCCTCCCTGACCGCTGCCACGTTGGCTGCCAGCACCTGCACCGCGCCAGGCCTATGGAGGTGCCACTGCGCCTCCAGCCACTGCCAGGACGCTGCCAGTGGCTCGTCCCCAACCACCCATGGCACGTGCTCCCATCCCTTTTGGTGATGCCCCATCAAGACCCCCTGGGGTGAGGACATGTAAAAACCGTAACTGCAAAACTGATCTACCCAGTTTCAACACCGCCTGACCAAACATTTCCTAACCTAACTGGAAAATGGCTTCTTCTTGGGGGAAAACATGGGGAGCTTCTTCTTGGGGGGACCAAGGAATACGCTGAGTTGTTTTCAGAAAACGTTGCTCACTCCCATTCTGTTCACACACGTGAAGAGCAAAAAGGAGACTGTGAGTAGAAGAACAAGAGCCGGCGGCGGCTGGAGTGGGGGCGGGGCCAGGCCCGGGCGGCACCCCCTGGGGGAGGCGGGCTGCCTGTGTTGAGCAGAGATGGGCAGTGAAAGGGTCAGACGCTGGCAGGGGCTCCCTCAAGGCGCCCCTCAGTGGAAGATGCCAAGGTTACCACGCTTTCTCTTGGGGACCTGGAGTGCTGTGCACCCAGGGGACACGGGTGTTTCGGAAGATCAGCGTCTGCCACTAGGAACCCTCAGAATGGCTCTCCTGTGAGTATCCGAACTTGTAATAATTCTGTACCACCTGGTCAATTACAAAACAGTAACCGCAGAGACGTTTGAATAAAATGCCCTTCAGGTAAGAATGAGGATGTTAAAACATCAGCTCAGATTTCCCCCATTAAAAAACCGAGAAGTTTTTACACATATAGTCTCACCTACACTGAAAACTAAAAACCCAAGAGAGCTGTACCCATGTAAGAGAAGGAATCCTTGCCGACAGGTGCCGTGGGCCCCGGGGCCGGCTTCCCGAGCTTTGCATGCGGCTCCGAGTCCTCCCCTTCACCGGCGGCCAGAGGCTCCCGGGGGCGCTTGCTGGCTTTCGCTTTCGGTTCCTGTGCGCATCCATCTTTCTGCCCTGAAAGACAGCGTCTGCTCAGAAACCAGAGACAACCAACCCAACGCGAAGTGACCAAGAATCCAGAAACTCAGTGAGTCAGTTCACGTCACCAAATCAGACTTAACACGCCCTTTGTGGGCGGCCCTGTGAAAGCGGACGACCTAACACAGTCCACACCCTCAGACTTCCACGACCTGTTACTTTACGCTCCACTCTGCAAGGGCAGGCTTGATAAGGGCAATGTGAAGAGAAGAGCAAAGCCTCTGTTAAAAAATAAATCTGGTTTAGATGCTGACGGTGGACATGCCATTCCAGAAAAAACAAAGACCCGAGTCTTGTACGGAAACTAGAGAACGAGTTAGAAGTGGCGCCTGGCCACTAGGTGGCGCCGTGACGGAGCCGCTCAGTCGCACAGGGGAGGAGAAGCAGGGCCCCTGTGGGCTAGCAGAGCTCAGTTCCTGGACTCTGAGGCGGCTCCTGCTGGCCGTGCTGCAAAGACGGTTAAAATGACAGCAAAGGACTTAGGATACGACACCAACTCAGAGGGCGAAGCAGCAGCAGGGACTGAGAGGGCTGATTCCAATTCTGTAAGAATTCTGTGGGCAAACTGCTCTCCAGCAGCTTCGTGTGCTGCAGAGAAATGGCCCGAAGAAGGGAGGGCCTATCCGCGCGGCAAACTTCAGTATCATTTTACACAATAACAAATGGCCACGGCCTCCGCGACCGCCCCCGTCGTAAAGCAGCCTTCACTTCAGGGCGAAGGCCCTTCGCCAGCAAAACCGATCCGGCTCGCTGAAGGCTCAGGTGGCGTGGCAGTGAGCAGAAGAGCATTTTTAATGAAGGCATGTGCACTGTTTTCTCAACACTCTACAAGGCAGTGGGAGCGCAACTTCTAGATGCACCGCGAGACCAAATCCACGTCACTGGCTTCCCTGAAGTGCTGGGACTGAACCGGCAATTGGGGCACGCCTATGTGTGTGTGTGTGTGTGTGTGTGTGTGTGTGTGCGCGCGCAGGAAGGTCACTGAGCGGGAGGTGTGGTGAACTTCTCAGGAGGGCGGACCCACAGACACAAAGAACTAGCCCGCCTGAATACTTACAGTCCGCAGTAAACAGACACATACTTGTACTAGAAAACTTCAGATACAAATAAATTACTAGTTGGTTAAAACAAAAAAACCTGTGAATGGGAAATGGTAAGAAACCAACCAGGAGAGGAGCCCTACTTCCGAACTTGCTGTGTCCCGAACTGATTTTTCCACCCGAGGAGACAGTGGGACTGTCTCATGAGAGCCTCTTTAAACAGGTGGAGAGGTGGAGGGAGGGGCAGTAGCGCAGGCAGTGCCGTTCTCGCCGCCCGGGAAATGGGCCTTTCAGGGCAGCTTCCCAGCATCACCAGCCGCTGCCCGAATTCTGTCCGTCCCAAGCTCCAGGGCACCTGACAGGGGCAGCTGCTCAGTGCTGAGCAGCTAGGGGGCTCTGGAGATGGTGCAACACAGGCTGATCAAACTCCCCTCTACTCAGCCTCAATCCACTGCAGCAAAAATCCCCGTGAGTAAAGTTAATGAAAAAACCCCACCTCTTCAACATAGGTTAAGATCCATCTTTTAAAATGTTGCGTTCTAAAGCAGTCACTGTATATCCTGCAAGCCTGCAGTCCCTGCGGTCAGCCTTCTACCTCAACTATCCTCCCTGTGACAAGGGGAACTGCCCCGGCTCCGACTGGGTAGCACTGTCTTAATAACAAAGGGACCCCCTCCAGGTGCATGCTGGGAAAGGAACGCCACTCCTCCAGAACTGCAGCCCATCCCTTCCAGTAACAAGGGCAGGTGTTTTTTCAGATAAACTGCTGTGAGGACACTGAGCGGAAACAAGAGAGCCGAGTCCTGGCTCGTCCCTAACACTGTCACTGACAGGCCCTGTCAGGCAGGACAGAGAGCACAGAGGAGGGGGGAGGGAGACACAGACACATCTCACTCATTGCACTCAGCGGTCCAGAGCCTAGTCAGGTACGATCGCCAGGTGTTCAATGATAGCACAGGAGGAGGGAGCACTTGAAGTTCTGTGTGGATCATTCCCACCATCTGGGAGAGCCTTTGAAACTGTATATTCACCCCCAGGTCTGGAGAGGGGAGGGGGACCTAGAAGCTGGCTGCAAGCACACAAGCCCTAAAACCCCAGCCGTCGTTGCACTCAGACCAGCTGGATGCCAGCCTGCACCTTCCTGCTCAAGTGCATTTCGCAAACGAATCTGGGAGCTCATTTCCACTACACGAGCGTGTAGTGTCATCTCTCGTCAGAGCTCACCTCTTTCCAGCAAGACAACCGAGGGAGGAGGAGACCCCTAACTCGGGTCTCCCCAGGAACAGCACCACTAAGCTCACCTGCTCTCACCCTGTCCCCCAGTCTGTAAAAGGGAGAAACGTCACCAATCACATTTTCTCTATCTGCTTATTAGCTAGCTATACAGACCAAGTGACACCTGGGACAGGAAGGGCTCTGAAGAGGCTACAATGGCACAGGGACGTGAGCCGCGACTACCTCGAGAATCTTGGGGGCTCCCAGAGTTCCTGACGAAGGCCCAGGCTTCCTTTTCCGTGGCAAACTTCTTGAACCTGGCAGCGGGAAACCGGTCCACCTGCTCTCTGCATTCGTCCCTGGAACAGAGGGCACTGTCACTCCCTCCCCCTCCCTCGGTCCCGCTCCCCCTTTCTAGGTGATTCTCTCCCCGGATTGGGACTTGAGAGAGATCAGGCTGGGCTGCCCGCTCTTGGGGGCAGAGCCACGCCTCACGGTGTGTGGTTTCATCTCGCACGCCCAGCCCTTCCGCATACTAGACGGCCCACCAGCACCGCAAGGCGTTCCTCGGACTCAAAGGAAACTCCAGTCTTGGGGTCCTCGGAAAAAGCAATGCTAGCGATCGCTTCCGCGGCGGCGCGGCTCGCTCACCAGGTCAGGAAGACCCCGGCCTTGCGGCCCCTCCTCACGGCGTAGAACATGCCCGGCTTGCCGCTGCTGCAGCGCACGGCTGCCAAAGCGACTCTCTGCACGGCGACCAGGAGTCGGGTCATCGCTCACTGCCAGGGACCGGCCAGCATCTTCCCTCTGGGCTTCGCGCCGCCATTACGTGTGGACCAAACTCCCGGCGGCGGCGCGGAGAGATGACGCTAGACCCCGAGTGGCACTGTAGGTGGGCGGGGCCTAGAGCCAATCGCCCATCAGGTTCTAGAATTTCGAGGAAGTGCGGTTTGGACAGGGCGGAGCGGAGCGGGGCGGGGCCTGAAGCGGAGAAGGACTCTGGGGCGGGGCAAGGGGCGCTAGGGGCTGAGAGGGGCGGGGTCTAGGTTGCCGCGACAGGGCCGTAGACAGTCGGCAAGCGTGGCGAGAAGGAAGGCTCTGGGTGGCATGGGTGTGGCCCGGGGAAGGGCGGAGCCTGTAGCGGGGCGTGGCCTAGAGCGGTTGAGTGGAGTCGTTGTGGAAGAGTGCTTGTGTGGGCGGGGTCTGGGGGTTGTGGGCGTGACCAGGCTTTCCCCTAGGCCTGAAAGGAGGTGGGGCTAGTAAATAAGAGGACTGACTCAAGGTCCAGGGAAAAGTGCTTCCTGACAGCTGTCCCCTCCTGGGCCCCAGCGAGATCTAGGGGTTAGACCTACTTAGGACTTGTTTTTTTGCAAGTCAGTTGGTTGGCTGTGGTCGTCCTTTGTCACAGTGGTCGCCTGTGTTTAAAATTTCAATCAGTGAACAGGGCGGTGAAAAGTACAGGTGAAATATTTTTGTCAAAGTGTTTTTAGTTCACGCATTGTTTTATTAAATTTGAGTGGCGTCTTTAAAATTGGAACTTACACTTTGAAGTGATTATTGGTGTTAAAAGAACGAATTAAGAAAACGATTACGACTGATTATTACGTGGTCGTAACTGACTTGTTGATGGGACAAGGGTGTTAACAAAATAATCCATTTAGGGTGTCAAAGAAGCTTGGATGTCCCTGCCCTATTCCTTCCATGTGCACTTGTGGGTGTCTTACCAGTCTGTTCCCTCAGCATGGATGGCAGTAGAAAATGCCCCGATAGCCCAAGGAATGTAGGTAAATTACTGAGCTATGGGCTTTTTAAGTGCGATCTTCTAGAGACAATGTACTTTTGTTATTTATTTAAACGACCACCCTACATGTGGTCATCCTGGTTCACCTAAAGTGACCTGTTAACAAGAAGAAATCAAGAAAAATTCTGATACCTTGGGGGAAATGTCAGCAAGGCTTTGTCACATAATTTCCAGTTTCCTCATTGACAAATGGGGATGAACTCACTAGTGTGAAAACATCCAAATTGCGAAGGCCTAAGAACTTGATTTGAACACACTTGAGAACTAAGTGGTAGACGTATATTAGTGCGTGTGTGTAAAATCATTCATTTCCCCCAGTGCTCCCTTCTCCTGTCCTTGAGCTGTGCCGTTCCCATACACCGAGTCTAGGCTCCAACTATAACTTACTTACCAGCTGTGTAAATTTGGTGATTTGCTTAGTCTGTTCTCTCCTTTGGAAAATGGAGCTCATGATGCTGTTCTGATGTCTCTCACTTGGGTTGATACATGTGTGCTCTCACTGTCACACTAACCCTTTTCATCCTGTACATGTTTCACGAGTATGGGTGGAAGAATGGTGTTGCTTTTAATAATATATATTAAAGATGAACAAATGATCAGTTTATGACAAAAATCGTGTTACTTGTTCTACATTTTAAATTGTCAGCCCAAGAAACATTCAATCCTGGCTGGTGTGGTTGAGTGGATTGAATGCAGGACTGCAAACCAAAGGGTCACAGGTTCGATTCCCAGTCAGGGCACATGCTTGGGGTGTGGGCCAGGCCTCCAGTGGCAGCTGCACGAGAGGCAACCAGACATCCAGGTTTCTCTCCCTCTCTTTCTCCCTCCCTTCCCCTCTCTCTAAAAATAAATAAAAGCTTAAAAAAATTCAAAGCCGTAGACAATTTTTGTGAGTTCATATGAGCCAAACTGGCAATTGCTGGGAAGCAAAAATCTCAACGGATTGAGCAAGTGCCCCAGAGAATGGCGGTTTTGCAGCTAATTTTATACATTACAATCAGAGGAGGCATAAGAAAGTTTACATGACATTTACTGGTGACAGGAAGTGGGAGAAAGGAAAGGTAATGGGGAATCTCTTGAGATTGGGTAAAAAGTAAAATGGCAATAAAAACACTTCTACATTGGTGGGTAACACGGTAACCGTAACCATGAGGGTCTGCGAGGGGTGGGGGGTGTCTCTGAGACTGCATGGCAGAACGCCAGGCACTTTCCCAAAGCAGTTCGCCGCCCCCAAACCTCCCATCACAGCCTCCCCCCCTGGCTTTTCGATCACGCCCCACTTACGTCAACTATCCCGACCGCTCGGGTCGCCTGCCCAGCATCCTGCCCTCCGCCTCTGGGGTCCCGACCCCAGCCCCCCTGGACAGGTAGTTCAGAACTGTCGCCGCACCATGGAGTCCATGAGCCGAGAAGCACATTCATCCCCAAGGCACTACGTTTCCAAAGAGCTCCGAGAAACCCCATCTCGTTTGGTTCTCCATAGGCTGAACTGGAATGTGGGTCAAATTCCGTTTCCCTGATTCAGTGGGAAGTTAGTGTCGTCTTCGGGTGGCTGGCCTTTCTTAAACGTCCTGTCGTCGGGGGTAGTCAAAGCTGCTTTCTTCTGGCCAGGTCTCCCACCCAGACCGCGGCCCGGGGAGCCCGGCTGCCGCTTCAAACCCCGGGAGCCGGCAGGGGAACTGTCGCGAACGGCTCCGAAATAGAGGCTCCCCAGCAGGAAAAGTGTTACCAGCGCACTGGTCCCCCGGAGCCGCTTTCCGGGACTCTCTAGGCTTCTGCCATTTCTCAGTGGTTTTTCCGATTCCCCTAGTTCCCGCCTCTTCCTTTCCGCTGCCGGGATTTGACGAACTCTCGCGAGACCTAGGCCTCTTCCCAGGCCGGCGCTCACTCAGGTAAGCGTGGGGCCTCTTCTCTGCCGGGACTTTTCTGCCAATTTTGAGGGCGACACACGTTGGAGTCAGCCTTGGAGTGCCGGGCCCCCCTCACCGGGTGGGGATACGGCGGATAAGGCGGCGTGTACCCCCAGATGGTGCCCCCGGAGTGGGTCGGGGCGCGGAGACCCGCTGAGCCTAGAGCTCTCTGTGGTTCTAGGAGACGGCCATGTTCAGTTCGAGCGCCAAGATCGTGAAGCCCAATGGCGAAAAGCCTGACGAGTTCGAGTCGGGCATCTCCCAGGTGAGGGGCGGGGCTGCCCGACCGCGGGTCTCCCTGTCGCGCGTGCCCTTGTCGCGTGTCCCGGGCGAGCGGCCGCACAAGGTTCGCTGAGGTCGCCTCCGCCCTCTTGCGCAGGCTCTGCTGGAGCTGGAGATGAACTCGGACCTCAAGGCCCAGCTGCGGGAGCTGAACATCACCGCGGCCAAGGTACGGCCTGTGCGCGACGGTGCGCGGGGTGCAGTGGGACAAGGGCGGGAAGTGGCTCCAGAAGGGTCTGGATGTCGCTCCGGGCCCCGCACCTGAGCGTGGGCGCGGAGGCTTGGACCTTCCGCAGCGCGGGTGTGTTTTCTTTAGGAAATCGAAGTCGGTGGCGGCCGGAAAGCTATCATCATCTTTGTCCCGGTCCCTCAACTGAAGTCCTTCCAGAAGATCCAGGTGCGGCTGGTTCGCGAGCTGGAAAAGAAGTTCAGCGGGAAGCACGTCGTCTTCATCGCGCAGGTAGCGGGCGCTGTCGGGTGTTCGGGCCGGGGGTCCGCGAGGCCACGTGCGCGGACTTGGGCTCCTGCGGGTCTCAGGCTGATTGGAACAAGCTGTCGTGACTCCAGAGAGCGTCTCGGGTGGCAGAGAGCAGGGAAAGGTGCACTTGGGCAGGTTGCAAAGGCGGAGTGGTCTTCTGCTATTAATGCTGAAAATGCGGCTTTCCGTTTTTACCTCGGGGCAGATGTAGTTGCTAAAAGCGGTGGTCCGGTGAAGGGGCAGAGGTCTGTCTGGGCTGGGTTTCCTTCAGGAGGTTCACCTGTGGCCCCTGCTGTTGGCCGAGGCCGGTGGGGCGGTTGGACGGGGGAGGGGTGCTCCGAACGTCCATAGGGGCAGGGCGAGCAGGGCCCAGACTGGAGGGGGGCTTGTCCCTGACTTGCTCTTCGTCGTTTGACCTGCTCAGAGTTTGAGTCCACCCTGTGAATGTTTTTGCTTTTAAAGCAGTTTGACAGCTCTTCCTGCCAACCTCAGGTCTTTTTGTTGTTGCTGCATGATCGGTTTTATCTTGCAGAGGAGAATCCTGCCTAAGCCGACTCGGAAAAGCCGCACAAAGAACAAGCAGAAGCGCCCCAGGAGGTGAGTCTTCCCTTGGTGTCAGCAAGGCATGCTCTGCTCCTGCGGGCGGGGTTGACTTGCGGGGGGCTGTGAGCACTGCGATTGGCTCCCGGGTCACAGGAGGGGTTCAGGAGAGCTGTGCAGGCGTGTTGTTCATGGAGGGGCTGCTTGCCCAAGGTCACAGGAAACCCCGTTGTGAGGTTCCATAGGTGAGAATGGGGTCATTCCTCTAGCACCCCTGCAAAGTGTAGGGATGGGGAAGGGGGGGTCCTAGTTCAGGGCACACCAGGTGGGGGGCTGGGGTGCACCATCTTTGCCTTTTGTTTTGTTGTGAATTAAGACTAAATTACGTGTTTCTGGTGCCTACACCAGGGGTTGAACGTGTCACTGCCTTTGTGCACATTCGTGGGCAGTGTGCATGAACTTGATTGATTTGGGTTCTCTGCACAAATGCAGGTGCTGGGAGCCAACTCCTCAGTTCCGGCTCCTGTGCCACGGGCTTGGGTGCCGGGTCCCTGCAGACCTTCCAAGGAGACACGGTCTGCTGTCCCACTGAGTTCCAGATGGGCTGCTTTAAGGGGTGTGCAGTTTGTATTCTTATTCTTGCTTAAAAGTTGGGGGAATCGGGTTTTTATTTAAAAGTAAATATGGCACAGGGTAGGGAACTGACCTGGGCTTGGAGAGCTGGCTCATCGTAGTAATGCTGGTGTGGGAAACTCAGCCTCTTCTCCGAAACCCTGGAGAGTGGAGGGGGTGGGACTGCAGGGCTGTGGGCTGGCGTTACTGCACCGCGCCAGGGGGCAGTGGCTGGGAAGTCAGG